ATCCCAACACCTGTTTGTAACCGTTTCGCTGAGATGGAAATATGATTCAACTCTGTCTATTAAATACCTTTGTAGCAGGATTTGTAACTAAAGTATCTTTCAAAAAACACGTATACCTTTTAAAGGATTTCTACTCTATCATGATAGTCATATTAAGCCTTATGAATCACTGGCATCTGGATTGACAATCACAAATGCAGTTCGTAAGGTTTTCTCATTCGTCCCACTCCACTTTTATTTAGCTTCGTTGTAGGCATTCTATTGGAGATAATGCTTTGTTCGTTCGATTTCCAGAGAATAAGCTACTAAGAGATCGTTTATCTATGATCTGATCTCCAAACTTGTAGTTGTCCGTCGTTTATCTAATCGATTACAAGTACGTACGTTCATCAGTTCGAGTTGCCACACAACATTAGCACAGAGATGCAGTTGTCGATTCGAATCCCACAGTGGGAGGTAGTAAGAGTATAAGCAGTAGTCGGAAAGATTAGGGTTTGAAGATGTTATTCAAGGAGTATAATCCAGTGAAATAAATTTGGAATGAGAAAAAAGAAAGGGACATGAAGAATTCAGAAGATTAGAATTTGGGAGAACATAATCAAGCTATATTGGTTAGAAAAATCGTTGTTTTTTTTGTCATATCAGACAGGTTGGATAAGAATGTAGTGGAGGTAAAAGTAGGTAATCTAAGATCTAATGATGAAGTCGTACTGTTGACTATACTGAGAATTGATGAGAATGAGATATTTCATTCAGCCAACTAGCATCTCCAGTGAAACACAGTTCTCAAAACAGAAAATATGAGTTAGAAGAAAAGTCATTGCTAAAAGTTGAACACTTCACATTGCCCTATAAAGCTATTATATGAAATACGTTGACAAGGAGAAGTTGTCCCCTGAGATATGCCGTTACAGTTTCCGATCGTCAAGACTATATCTAACTCAATTTCTTTCCTCGGACGTTGTAATTTAAGTTAACTGACATTTAGGTGGGCCTTTCCTTAGGGTAGATTGAGGAAAAAATAACGGCGACCGACTACTGAAATTGTCAGACAACTGTTTACTTTAGAAAGAACAAAATTTACGTTTCCGGAGAGATTTAGTGACCCTCGAAAGCGACTCGACGATGGATAAAATAACCATATCGCCAAAAGTCATCGTTGGAAAGGCTCGATAAACGACTGTTAATCTCTTGGCACGTGTTTGCCTGTGTTTTACAGGACTCAGAAAAGACACAAAAGGAAGTCCGCCTAGAGTTCAACTCAATGATGAAGACGACCAGAGTATATTTAACGAGCAAATACAAAAGCACTTGATCAGTTACGAGAATGCTGTTTACTTTGATATAGCTCGGCATGATATCCATAAAGTTGTGAAAACAACATTTATGTCTATCAGAGATTTTAACAAGAAGGTTAAAAAATATCATTGGGCCTCGGTAGGATCTACTAACATCAGTAGATAATCGAAATTTCATCCTATCAGACTCCAAAGCACAATGAGGAGTGAAGACAGCGTGAAATCTGTCAAATACTTACTTCTTTCACTATAGATTGTACATAACACATGAAGCGGTGAGTTTTCGCCTCAATTTACTTATTTTAAAGGTACATTTTCAGACAAACCACTTTATTAACTGTCTGCTGAATAGAAGCCTAACTACTAAAGTAGGGATAGAAAAAAATAGATAACGACTTTTATAAATGAATTCCCTACATTATTGTCTCATAACTCCTCGTTAACTCTAGCAAATTCACCAAAAAAGTTTCTTTTGGTTGAGGACTCCGTCGGCTGGATACCATCAGCGACGGCCTACTGTGGGAGGGAACAAACTAACTCCCGACTAAAGAAGAAATTAGGAAATAACGATGGAAGTGGATAGCACATAAATTACGGAAATCACCAAACTGCATCACGAAGCAAGCGCTAACTCGGAATCCTGAATGGAAACGGCAAGGAGGAAGACCAAACAACATACTACGTCGAGAATTCGAAGCAGACATGAAAAGAATGAATAGCGACTAAAAAAAGACCGCCCAGGACAGAGTTCGATGGGAATGCTAGTGGGTGACTTATGCCACTCCACGAAGGGTAAAAGGTGTAAGTAAGGAAGTAAGGTGACGATGAATTATATCTAAAACTATTTACGATTACAAGAAGGAATACTGTGGGACAGATAAACTTATACGAAGATCAACGAGATTCTGTTAGCAATAGTTCTATAAGATTATGATTCAAAAACTGATAATAAGAGTTGAAAGATGAATAAATTTTTTAGAATAACCGTACTTTAATAGGTTTCACTACTTACATTGGATGCATATAAACTATTTGTTCATTGGCTGAAAAGTGGTTTTAAAACCAAAAGTTCACTTTTGCATTGATTGTTTGAATTTTTTTGATGTTGTAATTGATCAGACTGTTATTGGCATATGTGCGTGCATCCTGTGAAGATTGCCTCGATATAACCTTAAGTGATAAGCATTGTAAGCAAAGATGGATAAGAGCTAGCAGTGGAATCCAGGACTTGTATTTCGTCCGATTCTAGAACTCCTCAGCTAGATGTACTTGCATCCCAGATTCGATGTTCACTCCAAGACTCAAACACAGTACCGTTCACTTTAAACGCTACCACTTTGTCCACTTAGCTACTGATTTAATTGCAGTCCTAAATATCAATCGGAAGATTCAGACAACCAATACAAAAATAAATTAAACTTCCTTTCATTACAAAAAGTTAGTGGCTATCTGAACTCAGTAGCTAAGTCGATAGCTTGATGGAGTTTAGAGTGAACGGTACTGAGTTCAAGTCCCAGACTGAACATCAACTCTAAGATGTAGATACATGCAAATGATAAGTCGAAAATAGAACTAAACACACGTCTTGGATCCAACTGCTAGCCGCCACCAACCATCATCATCATCACAGGTATACTGTTGGCTTAACTTAAAAGAATAGTTACACTAAAAAAAACAACCTTTTTAACCTTGTATATCGATTCATTTCTATATCGTAAATGATACTGAATAATCTTCTAATACAATGTGTTATTGTGTCATTGTTAACTATTTAGTTACTTCATCCTATTGGAGGTTACAATATTTCAATTATTCATAGCTTTATCTTATTTTATTTTTTCCCAACTAGCAAATTTATTCTTCTTTATAAACCTTTTCTTTTCTTTTCTCTTTTTTTTTGTTTTTTTTTTGTCGTAGGAAAAAAGTCCATACCGCGATTTCTTTCCCTTCACAATTATAATAAAGCAAAACTAATTAAGAATTCAAAAACCAAAAAAAAATAATAATCGTTATATACCTCTCTCAATATACGCAACAACAACAACAAAAATCTAAATCCAATTGGATACAACTCAAATACTTTTCAATTAAGTTAATATTAAAGATAATAATAATAATAATAATAATAATAATAATAATAATAATAATAATAATTGGATAATCGAAATGCTTAAGCCCAAGGTAACGATAACGATAAGACGTACTTCTTTTGTACGCATAGTTCTGGTTTAAGCTCCTGGATGGGGTAAGAGCTTCGGCTATTTTTAAGAGTTGGATGCGAAGAAATCTGGGTAGATTTGAACGAATCATATAAACAACCTATACTTGAACACCTAATCGACTGTAACCATTCCACAGATCCAAAAAATGAATTTAAGATTGTTTATATGATTCGTTCAAATCTATCCAGATTTCTTCGCATCCAACTTTTAAAAATAGCCGAAGCTCTTACCCCATCCAGAAGCTTAAACCAGTAGTATGCATACAAAAGAAGTACGTCTTATCGTTATTGTTACCTTGGCCTTAAGCATTTTGATTATCCAATTATTATTAATATTAAAGAGTCTAATCATTTTTGACTCATTTACAAAAGTATGAAGAAAATTTGAGAAAAAGAAAAAGTTAAACTGTGTTATTCATTGATCTAATAAACTATGATGGGTATTCATATATTTGGTTTCTAGGGTCAGATTAAGAATCAACCAAAGTGAATGACAGTTTTTCTTGCATTTGTTTCGATGGTATGCACGCAGTTTGAAATTTTTTTAGAAAAAAATGGCCAGTACTAGAAAACCTTTTATCAGCTGCTGTTTAGGAAAGTGTTATCATCATTGAAAGGCATTTAAAATGAAGTTCCAGTTTGTCAATAAGTTCAGCTTGTGGATGAAGTAAGTAATCAAGTGACATTTGTATGTTAATTAAAGAGATGATAATATATATTGAAAAATGTCAACTTACCAGGAACTATCTGTACCAACTACTAGGACGAAACACATGTTATGGATTCCACTGCTAGCCACTATCCATCTTTGTTTATACCAACACTATTTTACAGTTTGGGGTGGAATTGGATCATGTCACTAGGGCTTAGATAACAAAGTATGTAGCTTCAATCATATTACACATAGTTGAACACATGATGAGTTTTTATTTTACCTGTGGCCCCTCTGGGGCTACTGTCGGTCCCAAGCCCGGATAAGCTGGGGAGGGTTAGGCATGGGGTTATGGACCTCATCCCGTAGAAAAAACCGCTAACCAGAAAAAAAGCAAGTAAATTTATGATATTTTAAGCAATGGAAAACACCTGACTGCGTCACAGGGCAAGCATTCACTTGAAATCCTCAAGGTCAAATGACAAGAAGAAGACCAAAGAACAAATTACGTCGAGAAATGGAGACAGACATGAAAAAAATGAAAAACAATTGGATACAACTAGGAAGGAAAGCCCAGGACAGAGTGGGTTGGAGAATGCTGGTCGGCGGCCTATGCTCCTTTGGGAGTAACAGGCGTAAGTAAGTTAGGTAGGCTAAGAATTTGATCATTAACTTTAACATGTGTGGTGTTATAAAATGGTACTGAAATGTACAAAATAATTAATGATTGTTAGTCGAATGTTACACTAGTTATCATTTCAGTTGTCTTTGTAAAGTAAAAGAAAAAAAAACAACAGTATAGTTACATAAATCAGTAGGCAAAACTTACAATGGATCTGTTATGGAAAATTCAATCGATTTAGGTGGACGTTTAGGAAATTGCCAAAATGGTGCTAAATAATGATAGAAAAACAAATTCGGAAAGATCTTTACTTGGAAACAAAAAAAAACAAAAAAAAAATAAACAAATAATGAAAGTATAATAAGTAGTTTAAATCCCATTATTATACAATTCAGGTCAATTTCCATATAGGGCCACAATAGAATATAGATTTCAAGTAAATTTAATGTCATTACATGGTTGAAGAGAATCGACAGATAGAACGATCCGATCATCATTGCAGTTACTTCAGTATTGTGTTTGCATCCTGTATATTGCAATTATCTAATCGAGTTCTTAAGTTCAGAGATAGCATATGTAGAACCACACACAAAAAGCATTGTGTGAATGAGTTTCAGTGGTGATTGCTTTCAGTTCTGTGGTGAAGTTCTTCAATTACCAAAATCATCTTTGATTTAGTTTGCTTTTTTTACTTATAGTGTGAAGAACCGAGAATTGATAAACGTTTTCATACCAATAAGAGCACCCAAGACTGACTAGTCGAGTTTAGATTTGTCCTCTGTTGGTTGATGCTTATCCGTGAGAAATATTTGAAATTTTAGGAGAACTGATGTTGACATTGAAGACATTACTACTAGGTTATATAGATCATAACACAGTTACCAGTCAGTGAATATTCAACAATTTTGTAATGCTAAGCCTTGAAAATCATCATCCTCCAATCACATTTTTCTTGATACACCTCTTATGGTACGCACAATTGATTTTCAACTTCCGTAATAATTTACAGTATATTTGAATTATGAGCTATGAGAACAATCTAGGATGTGCACTTTGATCAATTTGAGACTATTCAGTCGGATTACAGAAATATCCCAGTGTTGGTATTCACAATGAGATTCGAACCCAAGTACACAGCACTTTAAATACTAGCATTAGTAGTAGAAAACGTTAGGCTAATTCAATATGATTTGAGAAAAGATGAATTTTTAGAATAGAAGGAAACGTAAAAAAAGATTATTTGAAAGTTCAAATAGGGAGTGAATCCATCTACACCATTGTAACTGATTATAGGTCAGGTCATACAGTATCTTGAACTAATGATTATAACATTGGAAGTTTCATCATCCTTGATGAGTCGGTTACTGGAAAATTTTCTGTACGGTCAGCCAGCTTACGTCAATGTGTCATAAACGAACTATCTGTCCACCAAACAAATGCTGGTTCTTCTGTTAAGCAGTTTTCTCCATTCTAATCTATGAGTGTTAAATGTAGTGCTCAGAAATATAGGATACTTGTAAGTTACTAGTATTTCATCACAGACTGCTTTCAAAGTATTTCTTATGTATGTTGAGACTATCTAATTAGCAACCCTAAGGTTATACATAAAGTACAAGCTGAGAATAGCAAATCTATTGGTCGGGTAATAAATCTTCATCGACTGATGTGAATGGGACATACATTATGTGGCCCCATCCACCACACAACTTCGACATCCGATGATGATTGCTGTGGGAATAGGTTGGGACTTGATAGTCTAAACCTAACAACACTGCCCAACCTAATTCTCAATGAATTTACGGATTTACTTTATATTTCGATTTGCCTATCCCTAGAATTCCTTAAACCTTCTCCTACATCAAGAAACATTGTACATTGAGATCAATGATAGTTAGAAGCACATAAATTCTGTCTCAACCATCTCAGATGATGAAAACCAACTTTAAATCAGATAATCATCAAAAATGCAATAGAATTTTGAATGATCTCAAAAGATAAATAGATAGATAGAGACTGAGATAAGAATTAATGCCAGAGGGTAAAGAGATAGTGTATCTATGTGATAGAACTATATATATATATAAATATATGAAATTGTCATATTTAATAATGTGAATAAAATATAGAATTAGAAACTAAGTAAGAACATTACACTCTACCAATAACAATGGGAATAACAAAATTTTTTTTCCCAGATTGAAGCATAAATTGGTCAACCATGGAACTTCAAAGGTCAGTTGAAATTTTTCTTATTATAATTAGATCATCATCATCTTCATCATTATGAATGTTTATGTATAGATATGTATAATATGATTAATTGTATTCATTCTCATCTCTCCTTCTCTTCTTTAAGTAACTAGCAATGCATACAATATGACAGACACGCACGTATACAGAGAGAGAGGGGGGGGGGAAAGAAAGAAAGAGAGAGAGAGAGGGAGAGGGAGAGAGAGAGAGAGGGAAAGCGAGAAGAGACTAAAGGCAACAAGAATCAGGAGAGATAAAATTCAATTATATCTATTTGCCTAGAATGAACCTTCTATTTTTAAGGGAAACTAATTAAATGTAGAATGAGATGAATGAAGAACAATCAGAAGAAAAAAAAAGAAAACTTGACAATTATTGAATATTTACATATTTCAATTCAAGATATATTAAAATAAAAATATTTCCTATGGTGATTTCTTCGAATGGGTAGTAACAATGAAAGAACAATTAGGTATTAAGGTAATTTATTTAAACAACTATTGGAAATTAGGAAGTACTAGATAGTTGGTTGGAGTACTGAAAGGAAGTGGAAAATAGTAAGGCCAAAGAACACATTACATCGAGGAATAGAAGCAGAAGAATGAATAACAACAGCAAAGCGCTGGAAAGTTTTACCCAGGACATGGTTGGATAGAGAGTGCTGGTGGGCGGCCTATACTCCTCCACGAGGACTAACAGATATAAGTAAATAAGTAAGTAATTAGTAAGACAGCTGTTTAGTCTTTTCCTATAGAGTGACCCTATAGCATTAGGATTGAGAAATGTAGATCATTGAATGATAGTTATTTACTTTGAAAGTTAAGCACAATATATTAGAGAGTTCAGGGTATGATGACCAGTAGGCTATTTCCTTGTTTGTTTAATGATTGTTTAAGTAAAGTCAATCTGTGCTAGTGGTTCAACTGACGGTTAGAGACCTTGAATGAAATGGCTCAAAATCGTTTGAAATGGCGCAGGTGCATCTACTCTTTGTGTTTTCCCAAATTCTAATCTTCTGAATTCTTCATGTCCCTTTCTTTTTTCTCATTCCAAATTTATTTCACTGGATTATACTCCTCGAATAACATCTTCAAACCCTAATCTTTCCGATTACTGCTTATACTCTTACTACCTCCCACTGTGGGATTCGAATCGACAACTGCATCTCTGTGCTAATGTTGTGTGACAACTCGAACTGATGAACGTACGTACTTGTAATCGATTAGATAAACGACGGACAACTACAAGTTTGAAGACCAGATCATAGATAAACAATCTCTTAGTAGCTTATTCTCTGGAAATCGAACGAACAAAGCATTATCTCCAATAGAATGCCTACAACGAAGCTAAATAAAAGTGGAGTGGGACGAATGAGAAAACCTTACGAACTGCATTTGTGATTGTCAATCCAGATGCCAGTGATTCATAAGGCTTAATATGACTATCATGATAGAGTAGAAATCCTTTAAAAGGTATACGTGTTTTTTGAAAGATACTTTAGTTACAAATCCTGCTACAAAGGTATTTAATAGACAGAGTTGAATCATATCTCCATCTCAGCGAAACGGTTACAAACAGGTGTTGGGATATGTCTATATTCTTGAAACAACCGAACGGTGAAGATTCAGTGTGAAGAAAAACTTCACGAGACGGTGATTTTATCAAAAGGAAAACATATCCGCAAACATTCCAAACTCATTCTTAATAAAAACCCCTTTAAGGCAAAACTAAACAGATGGTTAATTAAACCATCGATGATTCGATAAACGAGAAATACTTCCTAGTGGAGTATTTATGGCAGGATAAAAAACATTGAGTCGAAATAAAGAAGAACTGATAAATTCGAAGTTGGAACTATCTTTAAGAAAACGTATTTTACAACCCATCAAACAGTGAAAAGAACATAGAACTCAATTATTAATAAGCCTGTTAGTTCAACCGAAGAACATATCCTCCGCCTAAGCGTCAACAAAGAAAAAGCAAAGACAACAATAGTACGTTAGCAAATTAAAGATAGTCAGTAGAAAATCTTTCTTGGTCTATATTTCGTGCTAGTTGGTGCTCGTAAGCAAGGCGACCAGCAATCTTGAAGGGATTGATGCTCCTTGTTAAATATGAACTTAAAAATCGTAAATAAAATATATTCGAAGTATCTCAATCCCACAGGAGTTCAGCTACGGCATGAATAGCTTTAAGGCTGAGTGATCTACGTTCGTATCAATACCCTCAACATCTTGCTGACGAGTACCAACTAGCAAGAAACTAAAGTCAAAAAGAGTTTTCTCCTGTACACCTTTAACCAATTAACATCTCACCGTAGTGTACACGATATCAAGTCACTGAAACTAGTTGTTAACCTCTCAAGTTGATCGTTAAAGTTGGATCACCAATGGAGACGAAACTACAAAAAACATGACTTTGGTTACCACAATAGTGTTCAGAAGAGAAAGAACACTGAAGAAAATCTTATGAGGTTAAAATCATATTAAAACTTACTTCCATTTGATAATTTTGTATCGATGGGGAAAGAATGTAACAATTGACGAGCCTTAACAAGAAAAGAAAAACAAAACAAAAAGAAGTTAGGAATGAACAAACAAAAAAGATTGGCTTAAATCATTACAAGTGATTATGTAAAATTAGTTTTCATTCAATTAACTAATGACAGGAAACGATTGAAATCTGATAGTTAGATATTAATCTCGTTGAATGATTTCCACAGTAAGCCATTTTCAAAACAGAAACAAAAACTCAAATCCTATCATGTTTCTTTTTTTTTCATTGAAATGGTTTATAATCATGTGCAGATATTTGTGTTTCTAACATCTTTCATATATAAATCAGAAAATGAATAAAAAGAACTTTGTTTTCTAATCGATTGAGTTGTTTATTGAACAGTGGTTCAAGTCAATGTATACTCTAAGTACGCTCTCAAATGCCCTGGTAAGGCCGAAGGTGAGTATTCAGCTCTCCCACTCCAAATGCTCTCACATGACCACGTACATAAAAACCACTTTCATAGAAGTTTTACTCACTGATTTCTCGCGGCATGACTGTTGTTTACAAAATTGAGAGGACGAAAAGTGAATATTCAGCGCTCTAACCTGGGAGTTGGAAAACCCTGATTCCTAACTAAATAGTGTATGAACCGATTGTTGGTCACCAGCTACCATGGGATTGCATCTCCCTACGTTGCTCCATTGCATTGTGGATCAGACTTTCAGGTCAAATGTTCCAGGTGTGGTCCCCTAAGAAAACACCTGCTTCGGTTTGGGCACCTGGGCAGTATCTAACCCCTCACACAATTCGAATGAATAATTTATGTGTCGCATATCTATTTACTGCCTTCTTGTAGCAATGTTTGTATATCTAGATAAATACTTCAAGTACGAACTACAAATATAATGTATAATGATCAGTAGAAATAAATTTGTATACTGCTCCAAAGTGTTTACAACATTAGTGAAGAATTACTTTTTACCAGCACAGAGTAAAAATGATAATGTTAATAGTATCAAACCCTTAATTCTGTCTGTTTGGACTGTAGATAACAGGTAAATAGACTCTATCCGTAAGTCTTAGTCTTAAGCAAACTTCATTCATCTCTATGGTTATACAGTATATTTATATCACAGTTGATGTTAATTTGCGTCAGAGCTTATGTCAATTCTTGATGGAAACTCTAAATCTAAACGCTTAATCTTGATCCTAACTAAGAACAATATGGGGACTCTTAAAAATCTGTTTCGGACCTTTCAAATGTTCGAGAATGTTGATAATCTATATCCATTAAGATGAATTTGTGACTGGTTATTTTCGAGTTACAGTAACAGTAACCTGTATAAAATATTAGTTCAAATAATACTCATGTACTATCTATTTACGCTTTGTAATATTATAGTTTTCTTTTCCAGAAATTATCCATTTATATAAGCTGTTTTCTGATTGACTAGAAACTAGCTGGAAATTCGTCGTGATTCTTTTGAAATCTTTCCTTTAGTATAGTTTTATTGCAGTTTATTTAAGAAGGAACCTATGTGAATACCTCAGTTATAGCTCAGTAAGATATCAGTGTAAATGGACAAATTATATAGAAATTCAAATGCCGACTGAACAGCTAAACGGTAATGTAACACAAAATGATCAGAATTTTAATCCCCTCAGTCAGTCAATCAGCTACAACGTAGGATCAGGCACATATATGCATCGGTCTAAGTTGCCATACCTCATTCGCAAAACAACATGAACACCAAATTCATAGAAGTAGTATACTCAGTAGTGATAACATATAAAAGAAAGATTGCATATAAGGATATAGTACAGGAAGAAAGAATTCGTTAGTAGAAAGAAAGATATGAAGTGATTTTGATCTATTAGTTTAAGGGAAGACGGAGAGTGTATACACCTACACCATTGTGATCGATTCTGAGCAATGACACCAATAGTCTCCAACCATTGGTTACGAAAGTCACGCGGACTCCAACCAAGTAGTCTGCGTCTACCAGCGTGGCTCAGACTAGAAGTTAGGGACTTCAAGGACTGATACCGCGTTTTGGTTTGGCCACACCTAACTTTCTTTCAACTATCCCCTACACCGGTTAGCATTGCCTGTTGTGGTAATCGGTGATGGGGCGTGTGTAATACGTAGTCCGACCATCTCAGTGGATGAAGATTCACAACCGCATCAACTGATTTACCATCGTTCTCTAATATCCTGTGTCTAACCTCACTGTTACTTACCTGGTGGCTCCAGGAGATGTAAGCAACGTTTCTAAGGCATCTGTGATCAAATAGAATTTTATGTAAAACTTAAAAATATACTAAGGTTTTACTTATTGCGGTTCCTGTTTCCATCCACCATTGTTATTTGGAATATAGTCATGTTCCTATTCCATTGTGTTCTGATTTGAGGACTTTTCGAGTGAATCCTAAGCAATAAGAGTAGTTAGATCGTACTAAGAGAAATGGTAACAGCTTTCAATGTAAGAAACAAACAAAAGTTTTTGAAAGACAAATATCATTCTTACTTTATGATTAAAGTAATGTTGAAATTTATCACGGGCTAAATATAAACATTGATTCCATGTAGATGGACGTGAGCATAAAAATCGTCCAATATTGGGATTTAATTGATCTTGTAATAAATTTATCCTTTCAATCCAGTTTTTCATTAAAATTTTATCATTAGAATACATCTTTGATGTAACAATTACATTACTATTATTATTACTACTATTATCATTATCAGTAGTAGTAGTAGTAGTGGTAGTACAATTGGTAGCAATATCATTGCATAGATGCATTAAAAATGTTAAATCTGATATTAATTGATGCGTTTGTTGTTTCGATGTTTGTTCACCATGGTTACTGTCCACATATTCACATTGTTTTAAATTCCAAGCTTGTAGAAATGTTTGTAATTTCATGGGTTTCAATGTGAATTGACTAGCAAACTAAATTGGTATTTGTTTACATAATGAAGAGAAAATACAAAAGAAAAATAAACGAATAGAAAAATTAAAAAAAACACCAAATGAAAAAATCAAAATAAACAAATGGAATTTTTTGAGAGTAAATATTTCTGATGACATTTGTGATTGTGGAAAAAATTGTACACTAGTGCTAAATAACGTGTGTAAACTGTTGTTACTACCTGGTTGTTAGGTGTTCTTTCGAAGGCTTAATGAGGAGGTTGGATAAGGCATAATCTTGATGGTCAAGGAGAGCGATCACAAAACTCAAGAAATAATTGTTTTAAGGCGGATCACACAGTCTTTTCTCGAATAGTTCTTGATATGTGCTTATGATTTAGTTAGCTTCAAAATGAATAGCCTAAGTTTTGAATGTCAGTTAATGACTAATGGAGTTGTAGGAGGTAAGATAAGGTTCATCAGTGACATAAAACAATGTTTGCATGACATCATAAACTAAGTGAAGTTGAAAATCCAGCTAATTCAATAGTGACGAAGCAGGTCAGACGATTGTGATGACAATTAATCTTGAAAACCAAATAAACAATTGCCCTCAAATGCCCTGGTACGGCCGAGAGTCGGGAGAGTCTGCTCTCCCTCTCCAAATGCTCTCACATGACCACGCGTATATAGCCTCTGTCAGGGAAGTTCTACTCACTGACTTCTCGTGGCATTACTGTTGTTTACAAAACTGAAAGGATGAAAGTTCAATGTCTGGCGCTTTAATCTGGTTGGTGGATATGGAGGATCCACCTAGGGGAGTTGGAAAACCCTCATTCCAAACCAATGCTCCACATGGGCTCCAGTATCCTGAGGGAACAAATGGCGTATGAACCAATTGTTGGTCACCGGCTACCATGGAACTGCATCTCCTTACGATGCTCCACTGCCCTGTAGATCTGGCCTTCAGGTCGAAGGTAAATTTAGGAACATTAATTATTTACTGGAAAATTGTACTGTCACCACAAGAAATGGATAGGAATTTATAAAGCTATATTAACTTAAGGACTTAATGAAACGTTATTGACATAAAACAATGATTGTTTTTATGAGATTTCAGTGAAAAAGTAATACGAGTTATAAATTCTATTAGGTAAATAAAATATATTACTTATAAGTAATTGAAAATTTTAATCACGAGTTGATTTAAGCGATATCACCATTGAAAACTTGGAAGCATTACACGCCCGTTTAGTCTTAGTATGAGGCTCCTCAGTAGCGTGAATCCACGATTCCGTACGCAGGACTCGAACTTAGGACCTTTGGCCGTTCAGTGCTTCCAGATTTGCAATAGCGATTTAGCTAAGATCGGCTCATGAATTCAACTATTAAAATTACTACAATGGAAGAAACAGAGTAGAGTTAGAAAAGTAAGTATGCAATAACAACTATCTTACTACAAACACTGATGAACGTGTTCAGTTATGGCTTCTCCATAAGACATCAAAATATAATCATTTAATTAGCTAACATAGATATCAAAATGCCATTGAATTATCCTAGTTCACATAATTCACGATGAACGAGATGTTATTAACTTACAGGGTCCAAAATCTAATGACTCATATAATGTAGACACTAAGGAATTCGTGACATGAAGCAATAATCAGTTAATATTATTAGTAAGGGAATATGTCACCTTTGAATTGGTTGAATATACTACAGATTATGATATCACAATAGAAAGTTGCGATACCCTATCTTGAAGAAACTTTATCCATAAATAGTTTATGCTGTACAACTATATTTTTTCAAAATCAAATAAATTTTTACAAACATCAGCTAAAACTTTATTTCAGAATGAGATTTGTGGAGAATGTAGTAATTTTAATAGTTGAATTTATGAGTCGATGTAAGTTAGACCATTATTGAAAACCTGGAAGCACTGAACGGCCGTCTCATTGTAGTACGTGACTTTTCAACAGTACAATCCGTGTCAGGTAGAGACAGGTATCGAACCCAGACAATGGATAAATGAACCATTCATGGATCGATTGAAGTTAGACATTAACATCGTGGGATACCGGCTCAGTGGTTCAAAGGTTAAGCATTCGTGCACGAAACCGAAGGCCCTGGGTTCGATTCCCGAGTACCGGGTCATGGATGCGCATTGCTGGGAAGTCTCATACAAGGACGAGACAGTCTTCAGGTTCTTCCATGTTTCCCATGGTGATCTAGCTTACATTGACACATATATTCAACTAATAAAAACTTTATTTAACACAAAAGTTATATTTTTGGAGAACAAATCAACTACACTAGAAAAATGTTTGATAATTTTCACTTCAATTCATTCTTATTCAATAGTTAAATTTATACTTTTTACTTATTCATTAGACAAAAAGACAATAGGTCTGTAAAATTATTTTGGCAAATATTTATTCGATTCATCAGACAATTCATTACATAAACATTATTTCTCATATGGGTATCCACCTACCCTATTTATCCTTAAATAAGATAGACAATAGCAATCAGTCAGGAACGAGTACATTTTTAGTCAATACGAGACAATAATGTGAATAGGATAAATAATGAGAGAGAGAGAGAGAGCAAGAGTGTGTGTGTGTGAGGGAGAGAGAGAGAAGGAGGGGAAAAAACGAAAACATCAGAGTTTGATGCAGATCGGTCTAAAATAAACACACTGAACAGTGAAACATTCAACAACAACAATAACAACAACAAAAAACTTTACGAATTAAAATAATCTCACTTGATGCAATCTGATATACATGAGATTAGAAATTAAAATAGACAGATACTTGGTATATTTGATCTTTAACTATTAAAATGTAGGTTCAAACCCCCTTTTATTGTTAAATCTGCTTCCGTACGGGCATAAGGGAAGTGATATCAAACCCTAAACAAAAAAGTATGACATCAAGTCGGCTGTAAATGATTAACTACTTGTTAATTGAGTAAAAAAGTTATTTGTAAATGATGATAGGAGATTGAATGTCCAAATTTCTTTAGGGACATACATTTCAACAATGTTGTATGGATTACACGAGATCATTTCAATATCTATGTGTTATACTTGTGACCGCCAATTAGAGAACAGTGAGTTGTCAACCGGATCAAGGATGCGTGAAACCCATACGAACAGTCTAGAGTCCTTAATGGTCCTGCTTTCTGCCTAGCCCTGCCTGTCAACTTGAGAACACCAATGTCAGCCTCTGCAATATGAATCATTATATTTCAAACATACTGGGTTTATATATCAACCAAGCAGACCAAATCGTACCATAAAATAGGAAACAACATTTGTACAAGAATTAGCCAAATAAGGCTGTGGATGAGGGAGGTAGTAATTAATAAACAGGGCATAATTCAAGAATGGCAAATCGTGTAGTAATAGTTCACAGGTCAAAATAAAGCTTATGATAAGAGAGACATGAATATGAATAGTTTAGTTACGTAACAATTATACGATAAAAGTATACGCATAGAATTGGTCCATGAAAGGATCCCAAAAGTTACCATTCATTGTGCTTATCGGAACCTAACACTATATTACTATTATCCGTGAAAATGGTTAATATCAGGAACTGATTCCAGCTAATATAGCCATTGTGAACTAGGAAACATTGGTTATAAGTGTCTTGTACAGACATAGGACTCTTTTGTAGAACAAATCCTACGGCTCTACTTGTTATATTCCGATGACAATAACGAGTGGTAACTTTTGGGATCCATTATGGACCAATACTATACGTATATTTTTATCATATAATTGTTAAGTAACTAAACTATTCATAATCGTGTTCCTCTTGTCATAAGCTTTATTGTGACCTATGAACTGCTATTATACTATTTACCATTCTGGAGTTATGCCCTGTCTATCGATTACTACCTTCCACATTCATAGCCACTTTTGGCTAATACTTGTACAAATGTTGTTTTCTATTTTGTGGTGCGATGTGGTCTCTTTGGTTTGTATATAAACCCAGTATGTTTGAAATAAATGATTCATATCGCAGAGGCTGAGATTAGACCATTAAGGACTCTAGATTGTTCGTACGGGTTTTACGCGTCATTGGTCCGTTCGATAATTGACTGTTCTCTAATTGGCGGTATCATTATATCATATATTAATAGGACACAGGGCATAAGTTATAATACTATCAAACTTCAGTGCCAGAACTCATTAGACTAATCGCAAGAGCGTTATCTTTAGATAATCTAGTTAACATTCAATGAATTACAAGAACCGAAATCAGTAAATTCACGGTATTGCACGATTATCGCTAGCGCAAACACCGACAAAACCAGAAAATACATGTATAGCATGAACAACAAATAATGTATGAAAGCTATGAAATCGCCGATTGACTATGTATGGAAATGTGGACATTTTGTTTACTATGATGAACATCACAACATAAATAAATTTAATGATTAAACTCACTTTTTCACGTGCCCATTCAATACAATGAATTGGTAAGGTTGGAAATGATTTCAATGTACAATATGGTATTGTATTCACTTGACTATCAATATTTCCATTACCATCTACATCATTGTTATTATGAACATCATCATCCATTTGACTATTATATGATTCAGTAATATCAGGTAAAATTACTTGAACATGACCTTTAGTGCCTAAAGTACCAGATTCAATCAATGGTAAATGCATTGTTACACAACGTGAATCTAAATAACGACGTGTTGGTACACAATCTAAAGCAGCTAGTACAATACCATGTTTATATGAAGAAGTATTGAGTATTGAAGGAGATGTTATCCCTTGTTTGTAATTACTGTATTTTGTTGCTTGTAATAAAAATTCATCAGTGAAAATAGTCTTTTCAGTATTTGGCCAAACTGGAAATTGGGGAAAAACGAACAAACAAAGAAACAAAAAATTGGCAGAAATGAAAAGAATAAAACTGTGGATAGATTCGATTAAATTACTTTCTATCATAGGAGGCTATGAGGATAGTTGAAGTTCAAAGTTTCACATAACGAACTTACTTTGGTGCGAGTATCATTGAAAACTAGGAAGTGATATAGAGCTATCTAATCCTAGTACAGGATTCCTCAGCAATGAATGTTGATGACTCCATCAATAATTGAACCCAGAGTTTTAAGGCTCCACATCAAGGAGTTAGCGTTCGGACATGGAATTTAAATGAAAAGGCACGATGTATAGAGTTCGGTCACGAGACAACTAACACCAGTCGCAAACGATAATAGACCGGCAAGATTTCAAATTGAAATTAGAAATGAAAACCGCTGGATGTCAAATCGGTAGTCTAGAATTTAGGTGGTCACTGAGATGTCTGAAGACCATGGGTTCAACTCTAGGCTGGATAGGGGATAAGGACCGGTAAGGTATTCTAAACTAGGGTGAAACAACCCTTCGGTAATTCCTGGTTCCCAATGGTTCTCTAAACAAGTTAATTGTGTAATGTCAAACTATAAACTCAATGAATTTTTCTAATTTTAAATGAAAATAATTTGACTGTATTGTATTAATCAATGGATGTGTAACGGTTAAGAAATCTATGAATAGCTTTGTAATTCTTCAACATTGATACTGAATACTGGATACACTCCTAGGCTGAAGGCCCCGCGTTAAGCGTCCGCACTACATCACACTGAGATACCTCGTGTTGTGCATCTCCTACAATAAATATTCAGCTTAGATTTCATACACTAAGATACATTGACCTATAATTCAAAATGTACTTTGATATCCTGTTATTTTCGACATTTTGCTTTACTAGCTTTTAGATCATTGAGTAATGAAAGATTTCGGAAAGTAGCATTTCCGGATTTCGCGTGTCTGCTATCCTCTTCAGATGTACCTGGAATAGACTTAGACAAATGATGATATCATACTTGCTGCAGGGAGATAATACTGTCCCATCCTTCAGTATTACCTCCTAATAAAATCTGTCGTCTTAAAGAATGCTGATAATAAAATTTTCTTACAACTAAACTCAATATGATGTTAATAATGAATTTTGGAAAGCGAAAAGGCGTATAAATTGTTTCATCAGTTTGATCTGGCTTCAGAGCTTTAATCAACATTATAAGAGTTGATCATATGGAAAATAACTTTTTATTTGCTCAGTTAGTCATACACAACATAGAACCTAAAACATGTGTACATCAGTTCAAGTTACCACACCATATAAGCTCAGCGAAATGAAGTCGTCAGAGCAAATCTCAGAATTCCAGAGGTAGTAACACTAATGATGATAATAGAAAAGATCAGGCATCAAAGTGGCGATTGGAGTAGAAATTATGGTTTAGTGGAGTAAAATCGTTTATGAGTTTATTTTTGAAGTTTAGACCGTTCTAAAGAAAGACATAGAGTGAACGCACCTATGCTATTGCGATATATTCTGAGCCCTGTTATCCAAAATCTCCAACCACTAGTTACAATCATACCAACACTGATAATGTAGTCTGCACTTACCTATATGGCTCAGTCCAACAACCGATGTCTTGATAGTGTGGTGTGAGATTTTAGTTTGAGTGGCCTTAGGTTTCTTGCAACCTATTCGCGCATTAGTCATCATCGGGTGTCCAGTTGTGTAGTGGATTGAAACACACACACAAGGTAAGCTTTTGAAGCTCATTTTAGCATTTCATCCACAGTTTTTGACTGTCATCTTATAACTAATAATCTGGCATTCTTATATGAATGATTAAATATCTTTAACCGTCAATAGCATTTGTCCAGATGAATTTTATCAGTGTTATATGTAACTAGAGGACAATAAAAATGATCGCTTAATACTAATCAATATAATCATCGACTAGATCATAGTGTCGATTAATTTTACTGATTAAGTTGTAATTTAGTGATTAATCGAAAGCGACTCTTGTACTACATTTTGATGTCAGACGAATGGATGGGATCTGTAAGCACTAACGGATGTAAGTTTTCTGTTAATTCAGACTCATCATAGCAAAGTGCATTTGAAATCTTGAAGGAAATTAATATTGGAAAGAATTTAGTTACTCAAGGCGCGAGCGTTGTTTATGAAATTGAGAGAACGAAAAGCAAATGTCCGGTGCTTTAACCGGGCTGGTGGACACGGAGAGTTCACCTAGGGGAGTTGGAAAATCCTCACTCCAAACCAATGTTCCACATGGTCTCCAGGGTCCTGAAGGAACAAATGGTGTATGAACCTATTGTTGGTCACCAGCTACTACAGGACTGCATCTCCTGACGTTGCTCCACTGTCTTGTGGATCAAACTTTTAGGTCAAAGGCTCCGTATGTGGCCCCCTAAGAAAACCACCTACTTCGGTTTGGGCACCCGGGCAGTATCACAGCCCACACACAAATCAAGTGACTTGTGCGGCGCATATGTACGCGGTGCCCCTTTGTACCAATATTTATGTGTTCGAATAAATAAACTATTCAAAGAGGAACTAGTTTAACACATTTATTCGACAACAGATTAAACGAATGATTGAGTGGTAAAACCTTCGGCTGCAACAATATGTGATACAGGCAACGACTCTGTAACAGAATTCAATTCCTTTATGGTTGTAGTAAACCTTCGTCAGCAAGTATCTTCCCTGCAATATCTCTAACTCACTGAGTTTGAACATTAGAAACATCTATCCACAGAGTATGTTTGACCTGTAGCTTACGTAAATGATGAGTTTATTAATTGTTTGAACCGTTGTTGCTACCATGACGTGGTGGTCAGGCTTGCCTATCGTGATGAAGCAACCGAGCTATACTGGCTGGAACAACCGTTCCTCAAGGTCCTACCACGTCAGACAGGTCGGTTGAAGAGCGGTAAGACTAAAAGCAACAAACCCAAGGTCCGAAGGCGAAGTCTTACTACTGACTGTACAGAGGTGTGACAGCAGTAAGGTGTTTCCTCCAGGCAGCCAGCATAACAGCGGTCCCTTGGGTACTGTGATCACACTCTCAGGTCACCAAGACCACCTCTCATCCAGTTTCCTTTTCAGGTATCTCCAGAAGAACCCTTCCACGGTGTGGACAGCCGGAAAGTGATAACTACCCTCATACCTCTAACAACACTCAAGACGACTAATTGTTTGGACAGTAAAAGATTTTTTAAAAAAATACTAAATTTCGCTCACATTTATCACACATCGCTCTCACTGATATATTTGGATTAATTCTTTTAGCAGTATCACATGCAATTTGACTTTTTGACAAACCAATATGACATGATTGAAAAAGAAATTGTCGATTTAAATTTGACTTCTCAATATGATCAGGATCAGTGACAATAATATTTGGGCACCTATTATTAATGATTGATTCACTTAATACAGATTTTATTGATTGTCTTTGAGATGTAGAAACTTGATGTGATATAATTGACTTGACAATTGTTTCAGAATTATTAGTGAGTTGATCATTAGGATAAGGTGAATTGCCGTGTTCTTGTTGACCGTCTACCGCTGAATGTGACAACGTTTGATGGTGATCCCTATCATCAACATTCGCATGAGACATCAATGAAGTATCAAGTGTTGTATTATATGTAAATTGATTGTTGTTTTCTTGTTGTTCATATTGATGATGACGATAACAATATTGATGTTGATTAGAATCAGTCACGTTGTTCGCTGAATGTAAATCATCATCATTAGATCCAGCAGTGGCAACACCTAATAATGCTAAATTCTTTAATAATTCACAACCAATCGCACCACAACCAACCTGTAAAACAATAACAATGAAGGAGAAAGTCAAACGCGAAGTTCGATCAATAAAAGTAGCACACAAATGGCTTCCTAATAAGTAATGACCAATCTTATGTTTTATTTTCTAGTAATTCAGTGTTGATCAAATTCTATTTACTAAGTTACATTGTGTTCACTAATCAAAGTGACTTGATATCATGTATCAAGCTGACGGTTTGAAGTGTCAGCAAAACATCTCAGATTTTGAAGCTGAATGATGAAAGTTTGAGACATACAAGTGTAGCATTAGTTCCTTCAAGATTACAGGTATACCTTGGTGACGAAGTGAATAGTGATAGTTCTAACACTATGACTACTATCAATTCTATGAGTATAATAGATGAGCATTCCTGACGGATAGAAAAAGACAGTCGTCTATATTTCCATCAATAGCTGAATACCATCTGTTGACTTCTTCAAACTTTATGATTCTACTATCATAGTTGTATATAAAAACGGGATTTGATTTCCTGATAATGAACTGTTAAGTCGATGAGTTATTAATTTTGCTTTTAGAGATCTATTCCTTAGTGATTAGTTCTATGAAGGGAAGGTGACAGGTAAACGTCAGTCAGTCAGTCAGTAACAACGTAGAACTTCGTACGTACGTACATCATTAGTACCACATTAGTACAGAGATGCAGTTGTCGACTCAAATTCCGTAGTGGTAGAGGTAGTAAGAGTATAAGTGGTAATCGGAAACAGTTAAAGGAGATAAAGTCATATTCAGTAATACCTATCTAATCCGAATCCATCAAATGTCATCAAAATAAAATAGCCCATTGATATACCCCACAAATTAACAGTTCAATTGTATAATAAATTGATTAAATTATAAAACGATTTTAAACATTAAAACAATATAACATACCATAAAAACACTTAAATTATGAATTTTTTGAAGATTTGACACACCGATACATTGAATTAAAGCGGCATAACGACTTGACAAATAACTGTTACATAAAAGAGATTATGTAATAAGCGGTATGTATAAATATAGAATCATAATAATAATAATATATGAAGTAAAAGATTACAGAATAGACGACAGTTAGCAAGGATGATCAAGATGAATTTCAAACAGAAAATATAGTTATTTTACACATTTGTACAAGAAGGCGCCAAATAGACAATGTGACACATAAATCATTCATTTGAATTGTGTGAGGGCTGGGAGAATGATCGGGTGCCCAAACCGAAACAGATAGTTTTCTTAGGAGGCCACATCAGGAGCCGTCGATCTAAAGGTCTGATCCATAAGGCAATGGAGCAATGTCACGAGATGCTGTCCCACGGCAACCGGTGTCCAATAATTGATTCATACACCATTTGTTCCTTCAGGATACTGGAGCCCATGTGGAGCATTGGTTTGGAATGAAGGTTTTCCAACTACCCTAGATGGATCTTCCATATCAACCAACCCGATTAGAGCCGGATACTCGGTTTTCGTCCTCTCAATTTCGTAAACAACAGTAATGCCGCGAGAGGTCAGTGAGTAAGACTTCCATGTCAGTGGCTGTATACGCGTGGCCATGTGAGAGCATTTCGCGATGAAGAGCTAACTCCCTACTCTCGGCCGTACCAATGTATTTGGATGCTTTATTTTATTTAAAGCAAAAAAATATTATAAGTAACAAAGGAATACTAGCTAATTAACTGTGTATACCTTATTACTGATTTGTTAATCAAGATTTATGGTGATTATTAGAAAAGTATTCAATAAGGTGTATTTATGTTCTTTGCTAATCTTATAAAACAAAAACAAGCTCATACTTACTTACTTACGCCTGTTACTCCTCGTGAAGGAGCATAGGCCGCTCACCAGCATTCTCCATCCAACCCTGTCCTGGGCAATCCTTTCTAGCTCCGTCCAGTTGTAATTCATCCTTTTCATATCTGCTTCTATTATCCGACGCAATGTGTTCTTTGGCCTTCCTCTTTTCCGCTTCCCTTCACGATTCCAAGTTAGGGCTTGTCTCGTGATGCAGTTTGACGATTTGCGTAATGTATGTCCTATCCATTTCCATCGTCTTTTCCTAATTTCTTCTTCAGCTGGAAGTTGGTTTGTTCTCTCCCACAGAAGGCTATTGCTGATGGTATCCGGCCAATGGATGTTGAGTATCTTGCGTAGACAGTTATTTATAAATACTTGTACTTTCTTGATTGTGGTTGTTGTAGTTCTCCAAGTTTCAGCTCCATACAGTAGAACTGCCTTGACGTTCGTATTGAAGATTCTCGCTTTGATATTGGTTGAAAGTTGTTTTGAGTTCCATATGTTCTTCAATTGTAGGAAAGCGGCCCTTGCTTTGCCGATCCTCGCCTTTACGTCTGCATCGGATCCTCCTTGTTCATCGATGATGCTTCCCAGGTATGTGAAGGACTCTACATCTTCCAGAGTTTCGCCATCAAGTGTGATTGGATTGCTGTTCTCCGCTTTGAATTTGAGGACCTTAGTTTTCCCTTTGTGTATGCTGAGGCCTACTGATGCAGAGACTGCTGCTACACTGGCTGTCTTTATCTGCATCTGTTCGTGTGTACGTGATAGGAGGGCTAGGTCATCTGCGAAGTCCAAATCTTCTAATTGGTTCTGAGCTGTCCATTGTATTCCGTGTTTTCCTTCAGATGTTGAGGTCTTCATAATCCAGTCGACCACCAGAAGAAAGAGGAAGGGAGAGAGTAAACAGCCTTGTCTGACTCCGGTCCTTACTTGGAACGCATCTGTCAGCTGTCCTCCATGCACTACTTTGCACTGTAGTCCGTCGTATGAGTTCCGGATAATATTGACAATCTTCTCAGGAATTCCGTAGTGTCGAAGAAGTTTCCATAACGTCCTCCTGTCTACACTGTCGAATGCCTTTTCATAATCGATGAAGTTGATGTACAGTGACGAGTTCCACTCAACTGATTATTCGACGATGATCCGTAGTGTTACAATTTGGTCTGTGCACGACCGATCCTTACGGAATCCAGCTTGTTGATCTCGAAGTTGGGCGTCTACTGCATCCTTCATCCGGTTCAGCAACAATCTGTTGAAGACTTTCCCTGGTATTGACAGTAGTGTTATGCCTCTGTAGTTTTCACATTTGCTCAGATCTCCTTTCTTTGGAATCTTGACGAGGTGTCCTTCTTTCCAGTCCATCGGCACTTGTTCCTCATCCCAAATCTTTTTGAATAGAAGATAAAGCATGCTTGTGGTTGCTTCGATGTCTGATTTCAGTGCTTCAGCTGGTATGTTGTCGGGTCCTGCTGCTTTCCCGTTCTTGATTTGTCTGACGGCCATTCTAATTTCTTCCGTAGTTGGTGGATTGACATCTATAGGAAGATCTATGTGTGCTGCTTCGATGTTCGGTGGATTCATTGGAGCCGGCCTATTCAGGAGCTCTTCGAAGTATTCTACCCATCTGTTACGCTGTTGTTGAATTTCGGTGATTGGCTTGCCTTCTTTGTCTTTGACCGGCCTCTCTGGTTTACTGTATTTCCCTGATAGTTTCCTCGTTGTATCGTAAAGCTGTTTCATGTTTCCTTCTCTAGCAGCTTTTTCTGCCGTCGTTGCTAGTTCTTCCACGTATTTCTTCTTGTCGGCTCTAATGCTCCTCTTCACTTGTTTGTTTGCTTCTATGTATTCAGCTTGTGCTTGGACTTTCTCTGCTCGTGTTCGGCTGTTGTTTATTGCTGCCTTCTTGTTCTTCCTTTCTTTGATCTTGTCCAATGTTTCTGTAGAGATCCATTCCTTATGATGGTATTTCTTTAGACCCAGAACCTCTTGACACGTTGAAGTTAATGCTTCCTTGATGCCTTTCCAGTTGTCCTCCATAGTAGTTTCTTCTTCTTTCAGTAGATCTTGTAAGGCTTGGAACCTGTTGTTGAGAGCTATCTTGAATTCATTGAGTTTGACAGTATCTCGAAGGAAGGCTGTATTGAACCTTTGTATTGCTGTTTGTCCACTTGTCCAGTTCTTTTTTAGCTTCAGTTTCAAATTGGCTACAACTAGGTGGTGATCTGAAGCTACGTCAGCACCTCTCCTGGTTCTCACATCTTCCATTGTCCTTCGGAATTTTTTGTTGGTGCAAATATGATCTCTTTGGTTCTCTGTAGTGTGGTCCGGTGAGATCCATGTAGCCTTGTGTATACGCTTGTGTGGAAATATTGTGCCTCCTATGACCAATTTGTTGAATGCACACAAATTTGCAAATCTTTCTCCATTTTCGTTTCTTTCTCCCAGTCCATGTCGTCCCATAATATCTTCATATCCAGTGTTGTCTATTCCGACTTTGGCATTTAGATCTCCCATCAGAATAGTTAGGTCCTTTCTTGGGCATTTCTCAATGATTGACTGCAGCCGCTCGTAGAACTGATCTTTAATTTCGTCGTTGCTATCATTGGTGGGTGCATAACATTGGATAATATTCATTAAGATCCCCTCCTTCTTTGTTTTGAATGATGCTTTGATGATTCTGGATCCGTGAGATTCCCATTCTACAAGTGCATTTCGTGCTACTTTGGACAGCATAAGAGCGACTCCCTGAGTGTGTGGAGCATTGTCCTCTTCGTGACCGGAGTATAGCAGCATCTCTCCCGTAGCTAGCTTTTTCTGTCCAGCTTGGGTCCAGTGGGTTTCGCTGATTCCCAGTACTGCTAAGTTGTATCTCCTCATTTCCATTGATATTTGACTGGTCTTCCCGGTCTCCCACATTGTTCGAACGTTCCATGTACCTATAAAAATTTTTGCTCTGGTTGTTAGAAGGGGCATCGGCCTCGTGGCTTCCGAAGGAACTCGGCTTTCACCATGAAGCGTCATAATTCTTCTAAATGAAGACCTTCTAACTCCCAGGGCAGAGTTAAAATGGTTTGGATTATTTTTTCTGGTAAGCGTTTTTTTAGCGAGTTAGTTTTCTACGGGATGGGGACGCTAACCCCATGCCCAACCCTCCTCCTTTACCCGGGCTTGGGACCGGCAGCAACCCTATAAGAGCTACAGGCTATAGGTTGTTGATAATTTTGATAGATACTCTATAAATTCATAGAATAACAAGGATTGTTTTAACTAAAAATATCCTTCACCAGTATTTCTCATCGAACTAGGATATTGGACCCATCTATGGAATCAATGAATGCTGAACTAAACAACTTAGATAGATACAGACTATTTGGTTGAGGTAAAAGTGTTAATGGTGAAGCCGTATGTGATCAACTTGTAACAGCTGTTTCGTGAGACTTGACGACATGTTCACAGTTCATCAAGGCTACATCTAACCCAATTCCTTTTTCAAATTCCTTAAGAAAAAGTATTCATCTACAGGATGGGCAACTGGGGAACTGTCTTCATACTCCTAGCAGGACTTGAAAGTGGCATACGTTATGAAACAATTCATTTCATTCGGACTGTTTATTAATCAATGTTAGGCTTCATAGAGAGAGAGAGAGAATGGAATGAAGATATCAACTTATGAATATTTATATATATTTTTAATAGTTGAAATCATGAATCAATCGGAGCTAGAACATCATGGAAAACCTAGAAGCAGTGGACGACCGTTTCGTCCTACTTTGGGACTCCTCAACCGTGAGCATCTACGATCCCACCTTGCGAGGTCCGAACCCAGGTCTAGAGGCTAAGCACTCGCGTGCGTGACTGATAAGTCCTGAGTTCGAATCTCGCTATGCGGGATCGTGGATGAGCAGTGCTGAGGAGTTCCATAATACGACGAAACGACCATCTAATGCTTCCAGGCTTTCCATGATGGTCTAGCTTCAATTGAATCATGATCTCAACTATTAAAATTACTATAATATCCACAAAACGCCTTCTGACATTTATATATTCATTTTATCATAAATTATTAACATTAAGAATGATTATACTAGGAATTAGCAGATTAAATACCTTGCATGATCTATGAGAGGTTTGAAGGATTTTGAAAAGAGGGTGATAGTTACACATTATCGTTTGGTTCAAAAGTTAAGATACAATGAATTGTTCACATAATTTCCCTTCTCTGAATGAATGTCCAGTTAATAATGATTAGTGATGAAAATCAACTTTTACGTATAATTTCGGTATATTTTGATCATAGTAAACTGCAACAATGATTGTAGGCGGCCTATGCAACTTGTGGCGGCCACCAAATACCGTGTTACGGCCGAGAATAGGGACAGTACACTCTCCATCTCGAAATGCTCCCACACGGCCACACGTATATAGCCTCTGCCAGGGAAGTCATGCTAATTGCCTTCTTGTGGAGGGGGTGTTGTTTACGAACTTGAGAGGACGAAAAGCAAATGTCCGATGCTTTACCTGGGTTAGTGGATATGGAGAGTCCAGCTAGGGGAATTGAAAAACCCTCATTAGAAACCAATGCTCCACATGGGCTCCACTATCCTGAAGGAACAAATGGTGTATGAACCAACCATTGGTCAACGGCTACCATATGATTGCATCGCCTGACGTTGCTCCACTCCCTTGGGGATCAGACGTTCAGGTCGAAGGCTCCGGGTGTTGCTCCCTAAGAAACACACTTACTTCGGCATGGTCAACCGATCAGTATCACAGTACACACATATAACCAATGAAATTTGTGAGGAGCATATATATTTGGTGCATCCTTGTACAAAAATCGATGTGCTAAAATAAAAAAATATAAAAAATATTATCCGTAAACTTCGGATACAGTTCGTATTGACAACCGTCACTAGATAACACCCCAACGGTATATTAATCAGAAGGCGAATACGAAGTGTTGATTACGTTTATTATGGGACCACACACAGATATCCACATTTACAGGTGCGTTAAACAAGCATGAAAGAGTTGTGCCGAAAGGCGAAGAGGCAAGCAAGCAAGCGAGTGAGTCAGCGAATACGAGTACGAGTAAGCGGGTACAATTAGGCGAGATAGAGCAGCGAAGATGAATAACATTGACATATAATATACATAGTGAAATGAGTGAATGAATGAATCATCGAATCAATTTAGCGGTTAGTAGTAAGGCTAGCAGCGTGAATAAATGCTTAGGCAGTAAGCAAATGCTCAAGCATACATGTTCATACATTCGCAATAGTAATAAAGACACAATGGTATAGATAAGTTGCTATTGTACGAATGACTCTATCTGTTAAATAAGTTAACAAAACGGTTGTTGGCCCGTAGAAATATCGCACATGATGCTTACTTTTTCCAATGGGGTTTCTTCCAGTACTAACCAGGTTGTATTGGGAGACTTTAGTCTCTTTAACTCGACATCGATATTTTGCAATGCTGCTAATTTGTGATAATCGATTTCGGATTGGATGAGAGCGTTTACCATCGTTCTGGATAACGCGTCTGCCACTTCGTTATTATTGCCTTTGATATACTGTATGTTAGACGTAAATTGCGAAATAAATTCTATTTATCGAATTTCCCTCGGTGAGTAGTTATCCTGTTTGGCGTTTAATGCTTTTGTGAGGGGTTTATGATCTGTATATACTGTGAAAATGGTACCCCCAATCATATGTCGGAAATTTTTTATTGCTAAGTAAATTTCTAATAGTTCTCTTCCAAACGTACTATATCTCGTTTGAGTAGGATTTAATCTCTTAGAGAAGAATGAAAGTGGTTCCCATGTACGGTTTACTAACTTCTGCAATACGGCTCCTACTACTATGCTCGAGCCAACCACGACCATTTATTCCAAAGCCACTAAGACGAAACATTTTCGAAGCTATGCACAATATTTCGCATCCTGGAACAAAGGTTACCATCAAACTAGTCAGCGAGCGTTTCTTATGGCCAAGTATGAACCGGGATATTCGTAACTGGACGCAAGGGTGTATAAAATGCCAGAAAGTTAAGATAAATCGCCACACCAATTCCACAGTAGGTCATTTCTGTCACCCCGATAGCAGATTCGAGCACATACATATCGATATTATGGGACCGCTGCCGATTTCGAATGGCTTTGGTTACATTTTCGCTTGCATTGATAGATTCACGCGATGGCCTGTAGCAGTGCCCATAAAAGACATTGCAGCCTAAACTATAGCAAAAACCCTAGTAGAGCGTTGGATTTCCTATTATGGCGTGCCTACTAATATTACAACCTATAGAGGAGTTCAATTTAAGGGCCGCCTCTTCCAACAACTCACAGAGCTCCTCGGAATCAAGCGGATTCGCACAACATCCTACCATCCGATGTCGAATGGTATGGTAGAGAGATTACATCGACAACTCAAAGCCTCTCTTACAGTTGTCACTAGCAGTAATGATTGGGCCAGTAAGCTCCCATTAGTTATGTTGAGTTTAAGATCAACAATCAAACAAGATATAGGATGCTGCCCAGCAGAATTGGTTTATGGAACCACTCTACGTCTACCAGGAGAGTTTTTCACCTCAGGTAAAAGCGTTCCAACTGATATAGCCAACTATGTACAACGTCTAAAGCAGCATATGAGTAATCTAAGGATAACGCTCCCGAGGCAACATCAACACCGTGTGTACATACCAAAACAACTGAGCGACAGTACCCATGTGTTTATCAGAAGGGATAATGTGCAGCGTCCCTTACAACCGGCCTACGATGGTCCATTCAAAGTGATTAAAAGAAACGAGAAGACTATTACGGTAGACAAAGCTGGAAAAACGGATGTAATTAGCATCGACCGAATCAAACCAGCTTTCATCGAAACCGACGATCAGCCAGTACATAGAGATACTTCGAAAACCGTCGAATCACCGAAATGTGAGTTCCAATTATCAACAACATCGACAAAGACAAACAAAGAGAATCCAGTAACGACAAGATATGGTCGAAGAGTGAGATGGTCGCAACGATACATAGCTACGATTTTGAGTTAGTAATTTCTTTCACCTCTTAGGATGTAAATTTCTTTCATCTTCGTTTTCTATGTACACATCGAAATTCTTTAACTTATCTATTTTTATATTCGACATACTTTATGTATTATTTCGATCTTCCATTATTATCTTATTTGGCCTCAGGGACATATACGAACTCAAACTTACATGTATTTGTAATAACTTACACAATAGTTTTATCATACATCTTAATTTCGTAAATTCCAAATATTTACCCTTCTGTTAAATTTGACTTTTTTTTCACAAACACAGACATTGTTTTGTATCTTTGTTTGCTGGGGGGGGAACTATTATAGCAACTCACGTGCTATTGAGTTTGTTCACATTTAATTCGGTTAAACCGTTTTGTTAACTTATTTAACAGATAGAGTCATTCGTACAATAGCAACTTATCTATACCATTGTGTCTTTATTACTGTTGCGAATGTATGAACATGTATGCTTGAGCATTTGCTTACTGCCTAAGCATTTATTCACACTGCTAGCCTTACTACTAACCGCTAAATTGATTCGATGATTCATTCATTCACTCATTTCACTATGTATATTATATGTCAATGTTATTCATCTTCGCTGCTCTATCTCGCCTAATTGTACCCGCTTACTCGTACTCGTATTCGCTGACTCACTCGCTTGCTTGCTTGCCTCTTCGCCTTTCGGCACAACTCTTTCATGCTTGTTTAACGCACCTGTAAATGTGGATATCTGTGTGTGGTCCCATAATAAACGTAATCAACACTTCGTATTCTCCTTCTGATTAATATACCGTTGGGGTGTTATCTAGTGACGGTTGTCAATACGAACTGTATACGAAGTTTAGGGATTATATTGAATAATGACCGCCACATGGTCATTAACTAATTATTAATGAATATTAGCGAAATCAAAAACGGGAAAGACGTGTATCACTCACTTCTGAAATTCATTTGATTGCGTATTGACTTCAAGTGGTACAATCGATGCACAATGGATGTACAGCTAAATCATGATGAAGATAAAGAAATAATTAAAAAAGTATTTTACTTCCTAGAGTCTACTGTTGATGAAACAGTCCACTGGGAAAGCATACAATTGGATTCAAAAGATTCTGTTTATGCTTTTCGACATCCAGTTCCTGGGATTCTTTCAAGACATTTATTACCGTACCAGCAAACGCTGTGGCGAGAAAATAAACTGATCAATTCATAGTAAAAGCAGGAGAAGCTAAAGTTAATTATTGTTAGCCACTGAAGGTGATGCCACGGTACTAGTGATTCTAAATCCTAGGGTTTACATCACTCATCATCGCGATTCCTTCGGCAAACTCTGGCCTATCTGACCTGGGGGTGTCTAAGAACCCTGTATATCTATCATGGTATCGAAACGATTGCTCACAATCCCGGCCCAATGGTTTACAGGTTTAGCATTCACGTGCGAAGGCGAATATCTTTGTGTTTGGTTCCTGCATAATAGGGTTGTGAATTTGCACTGCTAGAGAGTACAAAGACAGGATGAAACGGCTGTTCACTGATTTCAGGTTTTCGATAGCGGTCTAATTTTGATTGGTTCGTGATTTCAATGAAATCATATGCTACTTTTTGGCATATTAGAAATATATTATTGTCCTACTATTATGAACAATCCACTCAATGCATAATTTACGTGAAATTATCAAGACAACACATCGCTACGGATACAATTCTGGATTAAATTTTTTGTAGCAAAGTCTGTATACTGCAGATGAGGGATTTATTTATTTTGTAGTGTGCGCTATTGATGTCAACAGATATAAGTAGTATGTATCATCAACAAAAAGTGAAATGTCTGACGGCAGAAGGTTAAGAAGATCGAAGGAGAACGGATAATGATTGGTGTGGAAACGAAAGAGACGATTGATTGACAGTTTGTGAATGAAGTATTTACTGTATGGTTCTCAGATTTTAATAAGAGATTCTGTAACTTCGTATTGAAGTACATTCGGTTGTCCCCACTTGTGTTCTCGTTCACTACAATTTAGCTGCTATATATTTATGTATTTGGTTTCAAATTATACAGTAAATTTGAAGGCTGATGATACTTACCAGTTGGATAGACAGAAATAGGTGAGATGGGATTCAAACTTGTAAATTGTAATAGCGGAAAGTTGGATGTCTTGACCCCAATGAACCGTCACTGAACTAGTGAAAATGTATTCACTCTGTCTCTGTCTCTATTTTTTTATTTATTTCAATATCATTTCATAAGTATCATACTCTTATTTCGTTTTGATGGAGTTTTGTTCTCTGAGCTGGATGGTTTGCTCGTGCAGCTTTCATCGTTCTTCTGAACAACCTTAAGGCCAACAAGGACCAATCAACATCGAGGTCTACAGGACAAGCTGTGAACCGCATGTGGAGAAATTCGAACACTTCACTTCTACCTGACGTTTGTGCTGATGAACGATGAAAGTTCCACGTTCAAACTATCCAGTTCAGAGAACAAAATTCCATCATAATCATCCACCTTAGCTACAAATCTTCTCCACCATCTCCTATTTCATATCTTCTATTTAAGGTATAATCTCTGTTGTTAGCTTGTCTCAATGTTATTGATACTAGTATTTCGATTCTTTTACTTTGCATCTCTACAATCTCATCTTATGTCCATTTGGCAACTTAAACTGCCGCGTATTCATGTGCCATATCTTAACGCTGGTTATAGGACTAGTTGAAATTAGTGTAGAATTATCAATTACTGTTAACATATAGTACTTACTAAACTATATGGTATTGTTTAACTACTCATTAAGTTCAATTATACACTTATAATATAGTTCATTTTCACGGGTCCTAATAAAACTTACCCATTGATTAATTGGTGTAAATGTAAATGTAATCGCTTTCATAGCTTCTTGTGCAGCTATTCCACCAAAAACAGCACTTAATGGTGCTAATTGTCCTTGACTAGCAAAGGCTAAACGTTTTACTAACGATTCATCAATTTTAATTGGCTACAATGAAAAAAAGAGAAAGAAAGAATTAAGTTATTATCAAAAAATTAACTGTGGACTTGAATATACACGTTTATTACTATTAACCATTTGTCAGCTGGATACATTTACATCCCAGTGTTGATGTCTACTCCGAGACTTGAACCCAGTACTTCTCGCTTTAAATAGTAATGATATAGGTATTAGACCCGTTGAACAAGTTAGTAGCTATCCGGACGCAATAAATCAGTGGATAATGTGTCAATCACTTGAAGCCAAACGTATTGGGTTTGGAGTCTCTATGTAAACTTCAGGTTCGTCCAGTTAACGTATTTCCATGTTTTGAAATTCCATTACTTATCCAGTATTCAATACTAATGTATTTACAATTGTACAGTGTTTCAATTGGTCACTCACTCACTCATTCAAACTTATTCGTTCATTCATTACCACAAATGCCCCGGTACTGTCGAGGGTGGGGAGATTCAGCTCACCCTCTCCAAATGCTCTCACATGGCCATGCGTATACAGCCATTGCCAGGGAAGTCCTACTCACTGCCTTCTCGTGATATTACTGTTGTTTAAGAAATTGAGAGGACGAAAACCGAATATCCGGCGCTCTAACCGGGGTGATGCATATGAAGGATCCATCTGAGGGAGTTGGAAAACCCTCATTCCAAACCAATGCTCCACATGGGCTCCAGTTTCCTGAAGGAACAAATGGTGTATGAACCAATTATTGGACACCGGCTGCCGTGGGACAGCATCTCGTGACATTGCTCCATCGCCCTATGGATCAGACCTTCAGATTAAATATTCTAGGTGTGGTCCCCTAACAAAACTATTTGTTTCGGTTTGGGCACCCGATCATTCTCCCAGCCCTCACACAATTCGAATCAATGATTTATGTGTCACATATTTATCTGGTGGCTCCTGGTACGAATGTTTATGTGCTTAAATAAATAAATACTCGAAGTACAAGACAATCAGAGTTGAGAGAATACGACTTTTCGAGTTTTGAACGAGCTACAAATATCATATACAATGATTAGTAGAAATACGTTCGTATACTGCTCCAAAATCTTTACAATAATAATGAAGAATTATTTTTTACCAGCACAGAGTAAAAATGAATTCACTTGGTATTGTTTACTAGAATCTTCTCATTGATGTTTAGGACTACAATTGATCAGTCTCTTATTGGCATATGTGTATACTGTGCGTATTGTCTTAATTCATAAGCTAGGTGGACAACCCGATGATGTTCGAAACAAACGGTACTGGGTTCGAGTCCCAGAGTGAACATCTATTCTGAAATGCAGATACATCCAGCTGACGAGTCCCAAATAAGGCGAAACATACGTCCTGGCTTCGGGTGTAGTCCCCTATGAAAACCACCCGGGCAATATCACAGCCCACTCACAAATCAGATGACTTGTATGGTACATATCTATTTGGTGCCCCCTTTGTACCAATATTTAGGTGTTCAAATAAATAAATCACCCCCCTAATTTACCTATTTATTCATTCACAATTAATAACTTAAACATGTATTTATTAATAATCATTTGATATTGATTACTTACATTTCCCATTTGTAGCTTATGTAATGTGAACAATTGATCACGAAATAAATTCCAATCATTTTCATCCCTTCGGGGTTTTTTTTTATAGTAAAATATAATAGATAAGATGAATGGTATATTATCATGTTTCAATAAAATAATGAAATTGATAATTACTAAAAGGGGAACTTTTCTAAAATTGTTTTTTTTTTCTATTTCAACATAGATACTAATTATTGATTACAACACGAGTTGAATGACAGATATTTAATGAATTTAAACCAAGGTCTAAGGTTCCCCCTATTGACTAACTCTCCAACCACCATCTCATCTCAACACAGTGTATGCAATGTCGACTCACCTAGACTGGTAGCTACATTGAAACTTGGTCGATAGGATTAGATTTTCACTAAAAAGGACTTGAAATACATGACATTGATCACCACCCGGTGATCAATCAATTGTAACACAGATATTCACTATTGAATAGACCAAGAATATACCACAGTGCTATTGTAGTGTATGCTACTTATGTTAACAGATATAAGTAGTATGTAGTAACAATCAGAAGCGAAATGACGGACAGTAGATGATTGAAATGAAGAGAACAAGAATAAAATTGGAGGGCAATCCAAATAACAACAAAATTAAAAGAATGACAGAGTGAGTAGAGGATAACGAACAGTAGATGTATTTAATGTATGATTTTGAATTCAACAATAAATTGCTTCACAATACTATTACTAACAGAAATGAATGACCAAGGAATACTAATAGATTTTATCAATAAGAGGTAAGTAACCGAAGTAATATTTAGACGATGATTATATTTAGTGTATGGGTAGTGGCGGAAATTAAGACGCATGTTTTGTCCCATTTGAGAATCAGTAAAACGGATGCACATGAATTCTAGTGTTGATGCTCACATTGAGACTTCAAACGCCAATGTGTTATCGAATGCAAACATTATCACTGTGATACAAGTACATTCAACTGAATGGATGTAAATAGGACAAAATGCGTATTCTGAATATCATCATAAACAACATACTAAATATAACATATGTTTAATTAAAGACTCAATAGAAGTAACACACATAAGACAGGAAATAATCAATTACAGTCCTAGATGTCAACAACAGGAAATTACAAACCCTTACTAATAAGATGATTGGATCCACCTAAAATTAAGATGGTCAGTAGTATGTATAATTGAGAAGAATCAATTTAGCAGAAATGAACAGATTATCATGCTCGTACAATGTAAGAGAGTGAGAGTTTTCCGAATTGCTGCGGAAATAAAGAGAAGCACCCAACTGCGTCACAAGGCAAGCCCTCACATGGAATCCTCAAGGCCAAAAGAGAAGAGGAATACCAAAGAACACATTACGTCGAGAAATGGAGGCAGACATGAGAAGAGTGAACAACAATTGGATAGAACTAGAAAGGACGGCCCAGGACCGAGTGGATTTGAGAATGCTGGTCGGCAGCCTATGCTCCATTGAGAGTAGTAGGCGTAGGTAAGTAATTAAGTAAATATATCTCATTGGTTCAAACTAAAATTATTCAGATATTGAGCCAACTCTTTCTTATTTCGACAAACCTTAAACGATTCATTCAATTATAGAAAATATAGAAATAATCTAAGAAGGATCTAGTTCATATTAACAAAAGTTCAGTAGTAAACGATTTTATTCGGTATAAAACATACAGGCATAAAGACCATATGATGAATAATTTCAGAAATTCATTTGTTTAATTGATTATAGTGCGAAAGTATACGACATCTTTTAAGATACAGCTGACAATGTGTGCTCACAATAAGACTTGAAGGTCCTCGCGTATTCGTTTTTTGAGTAAGTTTGTGAGTGTATAATGCTATGGAATCTATAACCAGGAAGAAATACACAAAGTTCTAACTGATTTCTAATAGTTCTCCAAGTGTTGTCACAGTTTAAGGTTTAAATTACTTTTAAAATCAATCTACCTTGTTTGATCATTAATATGTGCCTTTTTTTACTATACAAATGCCAAAACAAATTTATGGATCACATGATGATGGCGGTGATGACCCATACAAATTTAAGTACTCTGTTTTGAGCTGCACTTTAAGAGTGACGTCTAGTGATACTACCCGATTGTCCAGATCGAAGTACCGCGAGGAGGATATGAACCTGAAACTTAGTGGTTGAAAGTTGAACTCTTTAACCACTAATCCAACGCTCACGAAGTTAGGTCTATGCATTGAAGAGTGACAATGGAATGTGTTGCATATACTGAACCAAACACTCCCTCAGTGATCTATATTTATATTTGTCAAATACTTACATGTTTAATATAATTGATCGCACTGTTATACTGACATGTATATGCGGTATATAATGTAATCATATCTCATTGTATTGGATTTCACTCTTCTACAGCCATTGTGAGTTTGTCTTATTAAGTCAATAAATATGTAATCGATCATTCAAAAATGGTGTCTTTTCATTCTAATTCATTCTATTTAGCTAGGTTATCAGCTATTTATCATTTGATGAGCAATTCTAAGAACAAAACTACAGTACTTTATTTGGACATTGGAATAATAACCATTTCGTTACCGAATCATAAATAATGAAATAACAATGAATTCTCTCGTATAATATTGAAGAGCTATTGAGGTAAGTCTACGTAAGATACGGAATATCTGTTGTTGGCCGGATACCATCAACAACAGCCTACTGTGGGAGAGAACAAATTAAATTTGGGCTGAGGAGGAAATTAGGAGAACACAATGGAAGTGGATGAGACACATATTGAGGAAATCATCAAACTGAATCATGAGGGGAAACGTAAAAGAGGAAGGCCAAAGAACACACTTAGTCAGAAATTGGAAACAGACATGAAAAGGATGCATGACAACTGGAAACTACTGGAAAGGATTGCCCAGGACAGATTTGGATGGAGAATGTTGCTGAACGGTCTATGCTCCTCCATGAGGGGTAACAGGAGTAAATAAGTAAGTAATTGGGGTGAGTGAAAGAAAGATGGACGATTTCGCATTAAGTGGGACATCGATTTGAATTTGATATCCATGACTAAAATTAAGTCCAATGCATAAAGACGAATAACTATTTAAGGTTTGAAACATGAGTAATGAAATACATGTCTAAGTATTCAGGTCATTAATCACATTTTATTACAATGGATAAATATACTACTCAGATGTTTAAATAAAAATAGATGAAGTACAGTTTGAACCAAGGAGCCACAGTTCTCATTTAGGATGTTTACGACAAAACAACTATCCAACAAACCAGATACAAACACTTACAGGTATAGGTTGACCTAAAGAGAAAAAAACAAAGGAGTTCAACATACCATGGTTTGGGATAACGGCCAGTTTCTACATTGAACCTCATCAATGTTAGGTATGTTAAATGTAACAAGTTACCTTCCTAGTTGAAGCAAAAACAATCAAGGGAAACAATAGATTTAATTAGAAAAATATATTGAACATGAAACAGAACGCTATCATTATCATGAAGGTTACTTAATTGAGTCGAATTGTTCAAAGCCACCAACAGAACGACACGAATAATTAAGGTTAAGTAGTTTTTTGTCAAAAGAATCAGTCTTTTCTCTGAATCACTACTTACTATGTACAGGTTTGTGTATTCGGTTTTCAGTTACGCTATTTCTGTGTGAGAGCTAGTGAAACCACTTGGTTAGTGAAGCCGAATCAGCTGGAATAAGGTTGAAACAAGCGGTCAACTAGCTGAAAGCCGTATGTTTTAATTCTGTGACCAGTAAACAATACAAAATGAACAATCTAAGCTGATAGAATAAATTTTAACGTACATTATCATCGAACGGGCAGTCAATAGGTAGGTAATCATTCAACACACACTGTTAACTAGTTTTTTTATACTACCTCATTAACGCTTTGTCAACTGAAGAAAGGCTTAAATACCTCACTAACTCTCGTGATCTGGAGATGATGGAAAAGCTTATACAAAACACTACACTCAAAATATTTTAATAACTTGACTGTCTCCTCTTCTTGACTTTATATGTGTTGATACGTTTTTTGAAATTGGATAAATTTCGGTAAGACGACTGATTACTAATTGACCCGAGTGACAAGCCTCTGAAAATTTATTGGTCTTCTTTAGATTATCTTGGTCTAAGATTTCGAAATTTCCCCAAACGAACTTGTGTCCACAATTGTCTACGTACATTGATGTAAATAAAGATATATCATAGTTTTTGATACGTAATTGGTGTTCATACAGACAAAGTTGAAGAGGTCGGTCAATCCTGATGGATGAGAAAGATACTTCAGAAGTCACAACTAGATTATTGAGACAATTTGGAAAAGGTGTAATCCATAAACCAGTAAAATCGCTTTGATCAATCTTGTGCAAATCAAAAGATAACATGACAAAAAAAGGAAAGCTGAACAACATCTATAAAATAAGCTGATCCAACTACAACACCAACTACCAATGAAACACTACGAGGTGCCTTCATTTACATCAATGTACGTAGACATGAGTTTGTTTGGGGAAATTTCGCGGCTTGAAACTAAAAAATTTATAGACGCCCGATATGTATATGTATCACTCCTTATAGTAAAATTGACTAGACTGCACCATAGCAGCTAATTTTTCGAGTGCAGTGTAAACAGGGTACATTCGAGAGGCGGCAAGTTGTGTTCAATGTCCAAGACTTACCAGGACTAGGAGACCACCGGAGTTAAGGGTAGTCTCCCTTAGACAGAGGTAATCTAAAGAAGACCAACGAATTTTCAGAAGCTTGACACTCGGATCAATTAGCAATCAATGATCACATCTAAATCTATCCAACTTACCAACCAGTTATAAAAATTACAAACTATCTTAACTTCGAGATGGAAGATAATCAAAATACCCAGAGAGTAACGAGAAAACTTTTAACAAAAACTAATCAAATTTAATGTTGAAAAAAACGAGCTATTTGTTAATAAAGGAATAAATCCTCAAAGCACACTTCGATCTGAAGTTTGTACTGATGATATTGTCTAGAATGACAATGAAAGTTTCATAATCCAACCATCCAGTTCAAAGAACGTATCTCCATTAAAATCATCTTCTTGAACTGTTAATATTCGCCACTATCTCAACTCATGTTTTTTTTCACATTTTGAATGTTGATATCACTTCATAATTCGATTACCTCAATTTCATTGAGCTTTTCAAATTATACTTACATAATAAACTTACTATAATATCCACAAAAACCCCTTGTGATACTAATCAACATATGCTCACTAGTGACTGGCTTCAACAGGTATTTTCTGGAGTTCTAGTGAGAAGTAGTGACCAGTGAAGCGCAACAGCGTCTGTTGTGAGATAGTAGCACACTGGAAACAATAGTGGATGTGTCGCTCAATTTCGTAGATTAGTTGCAGTTAGATATTAACACCATTGAATACCGGCTCAGTTGTCTAGAGGTTAAGCATTTGCGCGCGAGTCTGATAAGTCCTGGGTTCAAATCTCGAGAGGTGGAGTCGTGGATGCGCACTGACGAGGAGCCCCACAATAGGACAAAACGGCCATCCAGTGCTCCTAGGTTTTCCATGGTTGTCTAGCTTCAATTGAATCATGATCTCAACTATTGAAATATACTTTATATGCTTACTATTTTTAGTTCGACTCTTTTTCTATTAACCATGTTAGTTTCATTTTTTGATGTGCTGAAGTATAAAAGTTTTCATTGATAATCTTTTATGTCAGATACAACATTGTTTACAATTGATTAATTAATTGAGAACAACTAGTTTAACTGGTATTGTAGTGAAGAGAGAACACGGGTGAGGACAATCGAATGTATTTAACACAACATTACACCACTTGTTAATAAAATCTAACAATCGTAAAGTAAATGCTTAATTTGCAAAATGTCCATCGATTGTCTCAAAATAACTCAGACTTCATTGTTCTTGCATTTTCATACAAATTGCATTCTGTTTCCATTCTTTACTGTTCGATCCTCTTGTCTCTATGCTGCTAGACCTTCTGTTCACCAATAACATCATATACTACTTATGTCAGTATAAGTAGCACATACCACAGGATTACTATACACAGACTAAATAATGCACTCTAGTTAGTCAATCAGATATAATCAACATAGAACCTGGAATAAATGTTCATTGGATCAGGTTGCTGCACCCTACAACATCAGTAGAGTGAGATGGAATTTAACACAATAATGATTAATATTTAGTGAGTGAGTGAGAGAGAGAGGAAGTAGGAAATAACTTCAGCCATTTTTTTCACTAACCTCAGGTTCACTGAAATCCACACACATTAATTTAGGAGATTTAAGTTGTTCGAGCATAGTTTCCTAAACAAAAGTGTTAAAAAAGATTAGCCAAACTGAAATAACTGAATAAAATGGTAAATGGTAAACAGACAATTAATTTCAATGATTAAGATCATGAGTCAGTTGAAGCTAGACCACCATGGAAAACCTGGAAGCACTGTACGGCCGTTTCGTCCTACTGTGGGACTCCTCAGCAGTGCGCATTCACGACGTCGCCCCTTGCGAGATTCGAACCCAGGACCATTCAAATTAGTTTCTGATAGGTCCTGGGTTCGAATCACTCGAGGGGCGGGATCATGGATGTGCACTGCTGAGGAGTCCCACAATAGGGCGAAATGGCCATCCAGTGCTTCCAGGTTTTCCATGGTTGTCTAGCTTCAACTTACTCATGATCTTAACCATTCAAATTACTATAATATCCACAAAACCCATCTGATAGACAATTAATTGTTTAACAGTTGTAGCATTGAAGTCTTAGTTATTTGTCTGAAGGTTTGAAACCTGACCTGGGCTCGGATACTGCCTGGGTACCCAAGCCAAAACAGGTAGTTCTCTTAGGAGGTCACATCCTGAGCCCTTGACCTACAGGTCTAATGCACAAAATAGTGGAGCAATGTTAGGAGGTGAGGTCCTATAGTAACCTGTGACCAACAATAGGTTCATACGCCACTTATTCTCTCTCTGGAGCCCATGAACACCATTGGTTTGGAATCATGGTTTTCAAAATTCTCTGGGTTGGATTTCCGTACCCATAAGCACTATTTAAGCGCTGAATATTTATTTGTCTTCCTCTCAACTTCGTAAACAACACCCCCGCCGCAAGAAGGCACTGGTTGTATGCACGTGGCCATGTGAGAGCATCTCGAGTGAGAGAGTTGCCTCTCCCCACTCTCGGTCATACCAGGGTATTTCGGGGCCGTAGCTCATGTTCAAAGGAAGTTCGTATGACACTTGCTCATCCAAGATCCTGGAGCTCGCGTGAAACACTGGTTTGGAATTAGTTTATAAACTCGCCAAAACGAATCGTTTATACCAATAAGTTGTGTCAAATATTCCGTTTTGTCAATTTACCTGTGCAGAAGTACCCTAATCACGTGATAACAATCATTAAAATATCTACAGGAAAAGGTAAAAACATACAACCACAACAGGGCCTTTCGAGTGAGATGATGAACTTTCCGATGCACTTTAACAATAGGTTTCATGAATCAGATGATTGGGGATAAAAATGTAAAATATTCTTGCAAAAATTAAGTTTAATTATCTTATTTAGCCTATTTATATCTGACATGATGGGAAGAAAAGTCAATCGACAAGACATATCAGTGGCGACGGTGGTTTCGGAAAAAAAAAGCAATAACAATTTGGCGACGGAAATATTGAAAAAACGAAAACCACAACAATCACTGATAGAGTCAATTTACAAGTTCCAGTTTCCAATATAACTGTCTGGTTCCAGTTATAAAACACTTGTCAGTTTAACGTACCCCTAATCCCCTTTCCTCAGTTATAAACACACTTCTGCTTTTATTTATCAAGTCGCTGTTGCAACAAACGACGCGGTTACTGGTGTAAGAACATGACAATTTCAGTCGTAGAAGTGTTCATTAAATCTTAATTACTGATCATAAGTGCATTGAAGGAACACATACTCGAACAATCAAATCCGCGATCGCATTCAAAAATTATAGACATATTTAACGATGTAACTGATACATCTCCTGATGTAATAAGGAATGTCCAGGGGTGACAAAAGGATTCATTAACCTCTGTGTATACCCACACGCTACAATACACACCTATAATGAAGGTGCTAATAGTGGTAAAACAGCTCAGATCAATAAAGTCACATTCTTAATAACATGGGTACATGAAGATCCGACATTGTTTCGTGGGGGAGGATAAAGTCAGGATCTAAATTTTAAGTCTTCCAAAAAAAGAAGGGTGATATGATGGCAAGAAAAGTCAAGATTAGATTGATTTACTTATTATGAGTCTTGTTCAACATTCAACATCCGGTTTGATTCAATGTGATGATCATTCAGTGTAGTATTTGATTTCTTTTCTCGTATGATATTTTATCCTGCATAATATACGATATTCTTGTATTCCATTGACATGAACTATTTTCAGTAAGTGATTTGTTATAACTGAATATGTGATTTCATCCTAATTATTAATCAAACTGTGTATAAAATCAATATATAAATGAGTATATTTTCGACTAGGGTTGTCGTCGTCGTCGTCGTCGTGTTTTTGGGGTTAATAAATCATCACTTATACCAGTTTGTGTTCTTAATTCCATGTCGTGGCAATTGCAGAGGTCCCTTGTTTCGAGTATGAGTGATAAGCGTTTCCGACACAACAATCATCGACGACTAGATATAACAAGTAGCATTCAAACAACAAGACATATCAATATCAGTACTGAGATTAATTAGGATTCACTTTGTGGTTATTTATAGTTTAAATGAATATATGAAGTGATAGTACATTCACAGGCTTAACTTATATCATAATTGGATAATTTAATGAGTTTAAAATTTCGACATTTTTAAACAATGAGACAGATTGAAATTCCAGTAGAAATATCATTCCAAAGACAAAGTTATCCAACCAAGAACTTTTATAAATAAAGAATAAACTCCACTGATCACTGCTTCTCACTAGGACGAAACGGTCGTTCAGTGTTTTCAGGTTTTTATTGGTGACCTAACATACATTGACTAATGAATTCAACTATAAAATTACTAAAATCTCCAAAAAGCCCCCTTCTGAAAGAATAAACTATCAAATTTTATTATTGTAATATCATCACTTAATAAGTAGTATGATTTTTCAACACTAAAAATAGATAAAGCTACGATAAATTAACTTACAAAAGTGTATACTTGTGGCTTTTTAACTTGAAGCACAATACCACCATCTGAATAAGGAAACTGGATGTCTTTTATAGACGTTTTGATAATTAACTCTGAAGGCGACTTTACTATAATGAAGAGAAAGGAAAACAGGAAAGGGATTAAAAGTAACGATCTAGGATAGATAACAGTTTAAGAACATATGGTATATAACATAACATAACAAAACGTCATGTGATTGATTAGCTTCCTCTATTAATACGTGGAACTAGAATCATCAGAATGCCAAACAATATATACCTTATTAGTATTTGACGACAAAATGTAACGAAAAATCTTAGAATACCACATACCTCGGATAGGAAATTCTCTTTCATTGAGCACTGGTAAATTTTTAAGTTCAGTGAATCGAATTACATCATTATTTTCTAAATGATGACGACGATCACCAAGAACTGTGATCAATAATTCCTCATCGTTTATCTAAATAAAAATAATATAATGAACATTTGTCTATGTTTACTTGAGTGGATTTGGGAGATCAGTTCAACGTCAGTCAGTCATATATGCATCGGTCCAAGTTGCCACACCTCATTAGCACAACAAGATGATCAACAAATTCAGAGAAGTAGTTTATTTAGTAGTGGTAATATATAAAAGAAAGATTGCACATAAGGATATAGTACAGGAAGAAAGAATTAGTTAGTAGAAAGAAAGATATGAAGCGATTTTAATCTCATAGTTTAAGGGAAGACAGAATGTGTATACACCGACGCCATTGTAATCGATTCTGAGACATGTCACCAAGAGTATCCAACCATTGGTTAAGAAAGTCACAAGGACACCAGCCGACTAGTCTGCATCTACCAACATGGCTCAGACTAGAAGTCAGTGTCTTCAAGCACTGATGCCACGTTTTGGTTTGGCCGCTCCTAACTTTCTTTCAACTATCCCCTACACCGGTTAGCATTACGCGTCGTGGTAATCGGTGTTCGGGCATACGTAACACGTGGCCCAACCATCTCAGTGGATGAAGATTCACAACCTCATCGACTGATTTACCATCATTTCCCAATACCCTGAGTCTAACTTTACTATTACTTACTCAGTGATCCCAGCAGATGCGAGCAATATTACTATGGTTCTGTGGTTCAATGTGAAGAGAGTGTGAATCACGGATGACATCAGATAAGAAACCAGTGAAAAACAAGGAACACTGAACAGCTATTTCATCCTAATTCTGAGCTGTTAAAAATTGTGAACCATTGATTCTTGAAAAAACTGAGTTCAGTGCCTTCAAGTTGTGTGACAAGTTCGTCAGCTTTATATTTAAAATTTACCGTACAAAATGACGCTCATTCTTTTTCGTTTTAGTTCGTTCATTTATGTTACTAACTTTGGTATTAAGTAGTTAAGAATAAAAATAAAAATATGCATTTGCAAGATATTAGTAAGCTTAAGATATTTAAATCTTCACCGTCTTCGTGCTCGTTTCTGTACATGTTACTCAATAGGACTGATTTCGATGAAAAAATTATACTGCCATACCATGACCTTCATTAATTTCAATAACGTTGGTATGTCGTTCGAACGTGTAACTATTAAACTATTGGGTGGACATTCAACAGAACTGGAATTGAATGAAATAAGAAGACTAGTCAGTTAATTAAGCACATTTCCATAGTAAGTAAACGAACGACTTTTTAAGCTTCTTTACTATTTCTAATTAGGTTTCAACAAGTAAGGTGTAAAGGAACATTTTTATTATGCTTTACGTTCATGGGTAAGTCACAGAAAAATTTCTGAGCATGAATCATTGTCAATGCTTGAAATACGAAAAAAAGGAACATATTACTGAGAATGAGTAATTTATAGCCCAAATAATATATAAATGCTTCGAATAATACATAGTTGTGCTAACGTCTACTATTTTATTGTTACATAATTACCTTTTCAATTTTTCCAATAAAAAATTCTCTACATGGTTCGTCATCTTGTGTTAAAACAGTAAAATCAGAGCCAAAATCACAAAATAAATTTCCAAATGTACCATATATATCTGTATAGATAAACTGAGAAGGAAAATAAAACAAAATTGAAGGTAACTAGAAGTAGCTTTTAAGTTGAAATTCATCGTAAACAATTCGGATTCAGATTATAACGGTGAAAAACTTACCCTCTGATACAATGAAACAAACTAACTGACAATGATAAGTATATGACAATCAGCGAGCATCGTCAGTCTGATAAGATCAAATCCGTCTCGCAAACTCTGGTTACAATATGTTGACCTAGATGCTACAACTGGATCATTATTTTCGAATAGATTTGGAGAACCTATTGCCTCTCAGTTATGACCTTTTCAACTACGTTGAAAAGCATGGATGCGATGTCAACATACCATTTAGGTTATTGATACGTAAAAGGTAATTAGAGTAGCTAGAGGTCATTTGATCTGTTCCTCAAAGCGATCCTCTCACTATTTACGTTACCTTGTCTAGAAATTAATTACTACTTGATCTTCATCAATGAGTTTATTGTTACCTATCACTGTCCCTATTTCCGTCTCCGAGTCCAACTGCAAGAGGCGTTAGTTTCAGCTTCTTTGGATCTAGTAAGGCACAGACGATTGTATATGCACAAGATTAACCCAAGTTTTGTTACGGGTTCACAGGCGATCAAAACTTATTGAATGACTACACCTTGACCTCGGAAGGATGTTTCTTAGAGGAACATGAATGCGGGACTATTAGCATTGGAAGCTATGTCAACCTAGAAGGGTGACCACAGAATACTGAAGGGCAATAGCTTGTACCCTATCATTACGATATAGCACTCTTTGTAGACGGTGCTAAAATGCAATGACAAACAATAAAGCTATTGGTAACTACGGTATAAACATTTAATTTTTTTTAAATAAGGAATAACAGTTAACTCACTTTAATATCATATGCTCTACAGAACAGATCCAACAATGTAGCTTTTTGAAGTGAACATTGCGTGAGTATCAAACACTAGGGAAGAAATTGGTGAAACTAATTATTTCAGTAGAAAATTTACAGTTAATTTAAATCATATACACAAGGGATAAGATTCTTCTTTTATTCGAAACACATAATTATTGGTACGGACAGGCACCAAAATGTTTCATACAAATAACAAACTGACACCAGCTAAAGTAGCATTGAAAACTAGGCATAAATTAGATATTCTGTCCGAATTTGGAACTTCTTAAATTCTGCCTAAATGATTTAAACGATACAACGCTTTCTAAGGTGAGTGATGGAGTACAAATTAGTCTTGACGACAGTAATGTGTATGCAATACCATCATAAAATAGAATAGCGCTAAGAAAGGCTTTTTCAAGACCAATTTTAGTTTTTTATATAGGAAAAATAAAACCAAAAATCTTACATCGACTTTCGTAGATGATCCTTCGTCGACTAATGGCTTTAGAATATTCTTATTAGCAGGTTCAGAAAGAGGGCAACGAATATCCGTCACATCCCCCGTTTCTAAAGTAATACGAACATAGGGATTTAAAGCCGTTAGACGATCAAGACTTGCTTCAGCTCTGAACGTTTGAAGAAGATAAACAGAAAAGAAAGTAACACTGTTAACCGAAGCAGATTTCGAATCTGTAACCAAATCAAATATTTAAGCTAATGAGACAAATAAAAGGAAAAGCATTTATAATTACTTGTTTTCAATTCACCAGGTGCAGATTTGTGTATTTGATTGCGAACCACACTCTATGTTTGGGGGATTCATGATACTGTCTGGTCGCCTAAACCAAAATAAATGGAGCGAGGGTTGAATCCGCGACTTAGTGGCTGAACCGAATGCCTTAGAAATCGAGCCACTGTCCCATTCAGAGTTATTAATAACAAACTACATGAAGCATTAAACTTAAAGCCAAAAGTACTAGTTTATTTGGATGATTTAGCTGGCGTGTCGTTCACTTTGGACTGGAAATATTAAAAATTGGAGGTTAAGACTTTATTTGCCACATCTCTTTTTCTGATTCAATGTTTAACTGAACAAATAATTGACGTTTCTTTACGTTTTTCCTTCACTTCATTTTGTGATTCGAACCCAGAGTTTGATCATACACTTGGCTTAACATTTAATATTGATTCCGAAGATAGGTTGACTGATATATGAATACAAAAACATTATTCTCGCTCAACCTCGTAAAAACTGTGTACCTCACGCAAAAAAATGGGAACTGGTTCTTTTATATTTCTTAAGAAAATAACTGTCAGGTAATTTATTTTATTAGAGATGTATGAATGACAGTCAAGCCTCTCACAAAGTTTTATAGGCGAAATTTGTTACGAGTATGTGGCTTCTGGAATGTCGTTCAATAATGTTATCTTATAGACCCATATACGAACTAATACACAACAAACGTAAGTTATTTCAATCGCTATCGAAAGTATTAGGTGAGCAGCTTTAAGAGTATCCAATGTTGGTGGATTCAAGTGTCATGAGTTTAACCGCGAATTTCCGATAATAAATAAAACTAAGAAAAATTGAAACGATCAGTCAAAATTTTACCTAGTTTTCGAACCTCTAACACTATATTCATCCACGTAAAATTGAGTCCCTAAATCCTGTTCGGAACATAAAGATCGGTCCTGAATGATAAGTTCTCCAACTCCAGCCAGAACTAGATTTTTCGCTATTTGCGAAGCAATTACTAATAAAATAATATACCTATTTCTATTCCAACACCTCCCAAGCCATGTAAAAATACTTTAGATTTACACATTCTTTTCATTGCATTTTCCCCCAGAACACATCTTTGACGGCTGCAAAAGAAATATCATTTTACAGGAGATCAAACCTGTATAAAGAGTCATCGATATCACAAGACATGTTATGCAACGCACACACAAAATTAGCCGCCAAGGTCAGTTGGACGAATGGTTCTAATGGTTATATGGTGAATAAAGCTTTCATTTAACTTGCTTCAGTATGTAGCAAAAGGATGCTTTTAAGTACAGAAATGGGTTTATTGGTTGATAAACACACAAATATTCCTTACTAATTCATTCATTGGACCTTACGAAAAATAGGGTGAATTTATCCGTAACGCAACTATGTAAACTTAATGTATCGCACAAGGTCATCTGTGCGTTCAAGCAACCACAGATTTTGTCATTTCATAATGTATTTTTAATTATATAACTAGATTATGTTGTTAATTTTGCTCTGTTTTTTAATTTTTATTCGCTACGTCCGACTGCGTTACACTGTACGTTCACTACACGCTGAGATGGTATCCAAAGTCATAGTGAGTTTAATCACATAGTTGATTGTTTCCAGATAGACCTTCAGTGCATAATGTTACTGAAGAAAGGTTTGTTGTACTGTAAACTATGTTTCTATGAACAACTGCCTGTTGTCTTCAGTATGAAAGCAGTATATATGTATCCTTCTTTTTTTCTTAGGTAAGTTCAACTGGCCTATATTTCCTGTTTTAGTTTTATCGGCTTAATTATGTCCATTTAACTACTTTGAGCAACATGTCTTTGCAAGTGAAACAATAACTATGACACTTGCTTAGTTTAGTATTCTTGGTTGTTGTATAATTCAGTTTAGTTGAAAGAATTATGGTATACTTAAGTATAGTGCTTGAAGCCTGTGACGAAACAGATCAGTTTAGTAAGTAGAGTTGCCTGTTTCTAATGAGTATATTGATTCAGATCAGTCTGAATAAAAATAGGAAAAAAACGTGCCTTTGATGCTTTTGCTGTCATACATTATAAGATAGCGATAAGTATGTTTGTTGTTTATTTCTAGACTGCACATATATCACTGACCATATTTCATGATCACTGTCATTAAACAATTTCCCCAGCAATAACATAGGTAGCAAGATAGCTAAGCGTCTGAACTTTTAGTTGCCCGCAAAACAGCAGTATACAGTCTTAGAAGATGAGTGTTCTGTGTCTCAAATAAATGCAGGTGGCTGTGGACAAATGTTAAGAATCTTTTTGACAACTGGGACATTTAGTTTATCAGACACTAACTCTGCTTGTATGTCTTCCTGTTAAACTAGACGCAGATGCAAGGGAATACTTAAATGGTAGCAAAATAATAAAAGCATTGCAGTACGGTACTAAGCCCATGTTATGCTTTGCGCAAGTAATAATAGCTGACCTTATCTAATATTCACGAACTCAAGGTAAATCACAACTGCATAAATTCTTTGCTAAACAACATGTAATTTGGTTATTTATCTATTCCGCATTCCTGACTAAATTGATTACTATTTTTTCATTTAGAATGCAACAGAAGTGAATCTTCACAGATCCTAAAAACTTTCGCCCTTAGAACTATGGCCCTATGGAACTGTTTACGGGAGACCCAACTAACAGCAGATTATAAAAACGATGTTGGACGTCCATTTTGGTCTCACAACCACTTCCAGTATTTTTTGACTTCTTTTACACTTTCTTTTGGAAAAAAAAACAACAAAAACTTCGGCTCAACATTACCAATACAACTTTTAAACGGGAACTTGGTTTACATCTTTGTTTGATATTCAAAGAAAGCCGACCGCCATTTTTTACAAAGATGGCGGAAATAATAATTCCCGCCCCATTCTGATTGGTTGCTAATTTGAAGGACACATTTACGAAATTGGGTTGCGTTTAAGTGCAGCTGAAAAATAGCTTCCTTTCCAAGCTTTCATGCTTGAGTAACTTACTTATTGCAAGAGAGGATTGAAAAGCAGCCCTAGATAACGGTCTGTCCGTCAATGTGACATTCATAGATTTCAGAAAGGCATTTGACAAGATTTCACACTTATATTTTATGCACAAAGTCTCGACCTTCAGAATAATAGGCGATGTACATAAATGGATACGAAACTTCTTATGTGATCGCAGACAGAGAGTAAGGTCCAGTGGAACGCTATCCGACTGGAAGCCAGTCATAAGTAGTGTACTCCAAGGCTTTATCTTAGGCTCTCTATTTTTCCTTCTCCACGTTAATCCGTTAACACTGTTGCTAAAATAGTCAACATTATTGTTTGAGGATGGTGTAAAAATCTGGAGAACAATAAGAAGTGAAGCTGCATATTTTGATCTCTTAGCTGATTTAGATTGTAGTGACCTAGTTTTATGAACAGAACGCAATTGGTATAATGGAAACAATTATTATTATAACCAACTTTACCAGTGATTGTTTTACTGTACTCGTTTGTTTAAGTGTACTCAAAACACACATTCTTCCGTTGACTGTGATCTTGCATGCACTCGCGTAAGCTCAGTAGTTCCTTTTGCAAACTTTGATCTCGGTATTATTTCGATACCACGAGATCGCCGACAAATATATCTTATTACAACCGTCAACTGCCTTCTGGTTTTGGCATACGAAGGGATGAAACCTATTATCCGGCAAGTAATCTTCTGTAGTGGTGATCATAGTCAATTGACGCCTACTGCCAGTTATATGGGCTCGAGGTTGGGGCTTAAAATTTAATTCTAGAAAGACTGTGCTCATGCTCAGCGGACTCGGTAATAGGTATCATTAAACTATTGACAGAAAACTTCCTCGCGTTGAAGAATATATAGTTAGGAGTAATAATAAGTTATAACTTGAAAACAACTACGCATCGCAACGCAGCTGCTGTCAAAGGTTTTGCAAACCAATGTTTCTTCAACAAACTAGTCATAGGCGGAACTATATTACCACATGGACTTCACCGGACCACACTGCACAAAACCAAATCGACCATATCTGCATCAACGGAAAGTTCAGGAGGACGATGGAAGACGTGAGAACCAAGAGATGAGCTGATATAGCATCAGACCACCACTTGCTGATCGACAAGATGAAATTGAAACTCAGGGAACATTGGACGAGTCTGACAACATCGCAAAAGTTTAATACGGCCTTTCTTTGACATACTTACAAACACAACGAATTCAAGAAAGGGATCATGTAAGCAATCGCTTCAACATGTCATGAGGTTCTGGGCCACAATAAGCACCACCACAAGGAACGGATCACTGTTGATACACTGGATAAGATTCAAGAAAGGAGGAACAAGAAGGCAGCAATCGGTATCAGCATAACAAAAGCAGAGAAAACCAAGGCACAAGCTGAATGACAGAAGCGAACAAGCAAGTAGAGAGCAGCAGAGAGTCGAAAAACGTAAATATGTGGAGGGTCCAGGAATGACGGCGGAAAAGGCCGCAATCGAAGGAAACATGAGACAATTGTTCGATACAACAAAGAAACTCGCTGGAAATTATCGTAAGCCAGGACGACCAGTGGAAAGTCAAGTAATCACCAACACTAGGGAACAACGAAACAGGTGAGTGGAGCACTTCAAGGAACTCTTGGATCAACCAGCCCCACTGATCCAACACAACATACAGGCAACACCTACAGACACCTCAATCGACGTTGGCCCACCAACAATTAAAGAGATCAGCATATCTAGTCCTTTACACACACTATGCAGGTAGGATCGACCAACTATTCAATATACAATTGTCGTGTAAGTAATGCCTATGCACAGTCATTTCTCTCTTGGATAGCTCAGTTGTCACCTCCCGGATCGCGGTCTAGGGTCCCAACGTTAGAAATCACTCATCATTTTTAAACCACTGATATTGACAAGTGGTTTCAAAGACAAAAGTTCTAGTTAGTTAATTTAAGTATCTCAACTACACAACTGTGGTTTTTGAATGAACTAATAATCCCTGTATACCTACTGAATGCTTGACTTCGAATTCCGAATACAGTACACTTGTTAGTGCTTATCTAGTACTTCTTGATTCGATTACGTTATTTCTGGGATTCTTAGTTCATACTATAATCCAAATACTTCTAATCATCCCAGCAACTTGTACACTACTCCAACTCACTGCTTGAGGGCACTTAGCCATGTTGGTAGATACATATAATTTGGTTGGGGTCCGCACGATATAAATAGTAGTTGGATACGTTGATTAACATGACTTAATGATTGTTATCTTGTTGCGATATGTTGTGACAACTTAAACCAATGAACAAATGTGCTACGTCCTCTGTCGCATATGACTGACTAACTAATTAGGCAGATAGGTAACTCAAATTCTCACTTTTATAAACTTCCGATTGAGACACAAGGAAGTCATATGAGTGACAAGTATGTCCATCACTGTGGAAGAACTATAAAAAGATATGGCATAGATAAATAGACCTTATGTTAGAAGGGATACGTTACGTTGCAATGTTAAACTCACCAACTCTTCCATCGATATTGCGTCATTTTTATGATTATCGAATGCTGATTATTAAGCTAATATATGAAGGATCAAGAAGTCGATTAATACGATAGATTAAATAGCATGATGTCAATCATCCCCCACCGTACTTGAAGTTGTTCCCAACCTGAATAAACAAATCATAACATTTCTAATTGTGATTTAAATCTATCACCAAGTACAGATTCGCGTACTTTCCTATAAGTCATATTTACATATGTGTGCGAGGGGATTGTGATGCTACCCGACTGCCCAAACAGACGCGAATGGTTCAGGACCTAAACATTTTTGACCTAAAAGTGCCAACTAGTGACGCAAGTTCGCATCCTTTACATAACATCATATTCATAAGTTTTGGAAATAAACATGGTTGATGAATACCAGTCAGTAGACACTCCATATTTAAAGGTTCTGTTCAACTTACTACACTAACCATCTAACAATACGAAATTGACAAAAATGTAAAGCAGAGCAGATCTTATGTCTCACAAAACATATCCAAAAAGTTCAAGTTTAAAAAGGTTACTATAACACATTAAAAACAAATTCAATTAAATCACTAGTATACAAAATGAAATAATAGCAAGATATTACTGTTAATTTATTTTGGTTTATTGGTAGTATGATGAAATAACTAATAAAATGCTAAATAT